AGTGTGTCCCTCAGCTTATCTGAATCCAACACGTAAGGAGGAGAAACAAAAATAAACATTTAAAACATCCCAAAGAGTGAGTCATTGTCTTTTTTTGGAGGTGGGTGTGGGAGGTATTAATTATTTATTAATTATTTATTATTGGTTACATAAAAGACCAGCAAGACAATTAATATTCAAAGGCGTTGCATCAATCCTAGTTGGGGACCATAACGGTGATTATCTGACATTAGGTCAAGACACAAGCCAACAGGACACGGTAACTATAATGGTAAAGGTCATTTTTCGCAAGTTCGATTAGGGCTGAGTTCTTGAGCATTTTGACTCCAGAGCAAACAACAGTATTAATAAGAGACAGTGGGAGAACAGATCAGTAGATGTAACTTTATATAGGTTCAAAACATTCATACATTTTCAGCATGTTAAAGTAATGCAACAAAAATAATTGACAAATTGTTTCCCCGCCCCCCACCCACACAAAAAAAAACAATTTACCCAGACGCGCGTGTTTTTTTTTGCTTAAAAAAAAATAGTGCAAATTTAAGGGGAATAAAGCATGAAGCACGTGGAAATTTTCCTTCCGACTTTTATTTTAAGTCAAGAACTCTGTCCCGGGTACAAAATTGAACCGTAAGAAACAAAACTGCAGGAAGGTTCAAAAAGGCTGAATACTGCAGATGCTGGAAATCTGAAATAAAAACGGCAGTCGCCGGGAACACTCGGTCAGGTCAGGCAGCATCTATGGAGAGAGGAAAGTGAGTCAACGTTCCCGGTTGATGTCCTTCCATCAGAACATCAGGTCATCGATCTGAAACATTATAATAATAATAATAATAATAATCCTTGCATTTGATATAGCGCTTTTCACGTCGGGAGGACGTCCCAAAGCGCTTCACAGAACACACTGTAATGTGAATTGACTATATTTGTGGGCAAACGCGGCAGCCAATTGCGCACAGCAATGTCCCACAAACAGTCGTAGATTGAAAATGACCAATTTTATTATTGTTTTGGGTTTTGGAGGGATTATTATTAGGCTCTGTGTGGAGTAAGGAAACTTGCCCAAGGTTTCGCCCTCTGCCTGGAATTGAACTCAGGTCTCTCACTTGCAAAGCGAGTGCTCTAACCACTAATGGTAACTGCTCAGCTTTATACATGGAGCAACCTATGACAAGATTGTACCTAAACACACTAGTCACTTCATCCCAATAAACATTGGTCGGAGGAGGAGGGGGGGAAGAGGCACCAGCAATATGATCCACCACACTGCACACTCAGAGATGAGACTACAAAGCAAAGACAGACAATAATAACAATCCTTGCATTTGATATAGGTCTTATCACGCCTTTCCTTAACCCACTTGCCTCTCTCCATTAGCTGCTGCCCAACCTGCTGAGCGTTCCCAGCGACTGCCGCTTTTAATTGCAAGGAAAGTTTGGCTGATAAGTGGTGCACTGATCAGGACATCAAACTCGCCGACTTCCAGGACCACTTAGAAGTTCTGGTTGTGTTGTATAGTTGGAACCCACGATTTTTTCCCCAACACTGATAATATATACTTATATATATATTTAAGATTTTTGTAGCAGCCCCTTTCAAATTTATACCAAATGNTTTTTTCATTATGTGTATGTGTGGGTCAGCACTCCGAGACCCGAGCCCACGTAAAGGGCACTATATTGATTTTTGTGTGTGTTTAAGCGTCTCTGAGATGCTACCCCACGCGAGCAGTCTTATGTCACTACAAGTTGTATGTTCATGTGTGTGTTTGTATGTGAAACTGTACGCGTGTGCGTTTCAGCGCCTTGGGACATCCTCCCGACATGAAAGGCGCTATAGAAATGTACTTTGCTGTGTGTGTGTTAGTGACTGTTTGTGTGTGTGTGTGTGTGCGAGAGAGTGACTGTGTACTGTTTTATCTTCCAAAATAAAACACTGGCAGCTGATGAATACATTGTATAAAATAAAGTTTTACCCAAGAGAAAACAATAATTTCCATGCACATACCCTTTTATCACATGCAACATTACTTTGTCTAAGTACAGCCACTAACAAACCGGACTGGAAAGGGATGCAAAGGTATCGGCGTGGATTCGATTTGCACTGTAAACAGATTCCGGGAGGCTGCGCAGTTCAGTCGAAAACGTGTATAAACTGCGAAAGGTAGTGGGCAGCGAGGCGACAGAAAGAGGTTCAAAATCTTTCCGTCCCCCTTCGTTCAATCCCACGGCAGTTCCACACGCACAATACTGAATTGGGACAGAGTTTTTCTTTCTTTTTAAGTGTTTTTTTTTGTCAGCCGGGTGCCTGACACAGACGGAAACCCATCACCATGGCTTAAGAGTCTCCAAACCAAGCTGAGAATTCCCCACATCCCACCTAACACGTGGAAACCCCAGAGATAGGTTGTTGGAATGGAATGCGCTCGCGCTCTCTCCCTGGAGGAACGCATCCTACGCATCTAATTCCGGAAAGTATGTAGGCGCAGGTTGGCAAGAAATTTTCTTTGTGTCGTGTGCTGTGCGGTTTCCGTGCAAAAATAAAGACACAATATTACCGACACTTTAATTTACTGTTCGGGACTCTTTTGTGTAGGAAAGTCTTATTTTTTTTTAAGAAAACTAGCAAGTCAAAAGCCATCTCAACATCGTACACAAAAAGGCTGTAAATTGCCCAGCTCCCATCACTGGGTGGGTGGGGGAAGGTAGAGAAAATATAAATTTAGGAGAATTTACATTTTCAAGAAAAATGACTTGCTTTCTGCCAAAGAAGCATTTCTACGCAATCAGAGTATAATGGTGCATGCATTATTTAAGACATCACGTCTTTTAGGACTAAAATTTCCCATCGAACATTCCAGGAGTAATTTTTCTCAGTAATATTTTTTCCCCCTCTCTTTTCAACTCTTTTTAACCCCCTTCGCTCCTCTCCCCCCTCTCCACACCTGTTTCTATTCTCTTTTTTTTTTCCCCTTAAATTTCAAATGAACTTTGTGCCTTTTTCTTTTATTATAAGGAACTCTATAAAAACATTTGGTCACAATCATTCCGAAGTCTGAAATAAGCGAATCCAGCAAATAAAGTTCTGGACGCATGGANTTTTTTTTGACAATGTCTTCTTGTTGCATAGCCCTACTGACAAATAATTGGATCATCCGACACAACCCAACATAATTGTACATCGTTCGATTCTTCAAGTGCTCATTCCCCCCACCCACCCCCAACCCCCTTCCTCCCCTCCTATAAGCTATTTTTCAGACAACTCTTCGTGAAACAGAATTACATTACAAAGGCAACATCAACGGGTTTTGGTTTTTCTCCCTCCCTCTCCACCCCTTCCCCAAAATTATCCTTAAAACATACAAACTATGCACCGTACAACATGTGCTCAGAACCTCCACAACCAAGTTAAAGACTGGACATGCAAATGTGTATTGTACGAGGCAGTGTAAAGCACTGCTCTGTGTCGATTACGCGCATCGTTTTTCAAGAACGCTGTTTCCCCCCTTTTTTTCCCCCTATTGTTTCTTTCAAAACGTAAAACGAAAAGGTTAGTCAAAGCCCAGATTTGCCCACCAACACAAAGTGAAGTATTTTGGCTTTGTTTTCCCTCCCCCACCACCCCCCTCCCCACTCCCTCTCTCTTGCTCTCTATACACACACACACACACACACATACATATATATATATATACCTTTTTTTTTGCAACATGTCGTTCATTGATTTCAAGCTGGTTTGGCAAGCAGCTAACTAATTCTTTTTGCAATTCATCATCAGTTTCTCTCACCTATGCTCTCCGGCCAAACCTTTGAGTGGTGGCCACTCACCAGTTAAGATGCACTAAAGAAGCAAGAGGGCTGCACCTTCGCTAAGAGATATCTAAAAAGGTTAGGCACTTGGAATTCAACAGTTAGAGCAAGAGTGGAACTCAGAATGATTTACACGATGTTAGGTTAACGTCACGTTACAAAATCTCTCGTTTCTCTATCTACACCTTACGCCAAAGTGAATACAATTTTTTTTTAAAAAGGCAGGATGTGATGGACTGCATGTGAGGTTGATTGATGGGGAGGGGGTGGAAGGGGAATTTTTTTTGCCCCCTCTTCAAAGCAAACATGACAGACCGAAGAAAAAAAAAAACACCACCAAGGATTTTGTTTGGCAAATTAAGACGAACGGAAGGAAACGGGAAGCATGTGAAAGAAACCTCCAAAGGCCAAACCAAAGTTTGAGAGCTTAGCACTGCTCATCACCATCTGTGTAAAAAAAAATGCAGTCACCCAAGGAAATTTTTTGATATAGATGAGCACAACGCGAGAGAAAGAGTGTGCGAGAGAGAGAGAGATATGGCGATGCAGTGCAGTACCAGGGCAGGAATTTGTTTACTGGCTCCGTTCAAGACATTTTCTGTTCGATTATTATTAATAAGAATAATAATCCTGGCATTTGATATAGCGCCTTATCACACCGTTCGAGAGGTCTCGAAGCACTCCAACTTCGACTAAATTAACATTGAGTCCTACGTCGAAAGATTGTAGCCGACTGTGATAATTCTCTCGGTATGCATTAAAAACATGGCATCTCCCTTTCAGACTGTCCCGGCTTCTCCTCGACACTCAAAAGTCTGTGAAAAACCCAAACAACCCCCTCCTCCCCTCTCTCACACAACCAATATGTGTTATCAATAAACTTCTCCAAAAACATTCATTCAGCAGTGTTTTTTTTCCCTTTAACCAGAGCAGCGTAATTGTAATTTCTGTCCTTCCTCCATTGATTTGTTGTCCTTTATCATTAATAAATTTGGCATCCGATGTATTTTTTTTTCTGAAACAGCCAATATCTGGAGACAGAGATAGAAAAAAAAGAGGATGTTTCTCTGAACTAAACAGTCTTTTTTTTTAAAAAAAAACATCCTTCACTCGAAGCGAACGGTTTATTTTTTTCACTTGCGGATTTCAGTGCAAAAAAAAAACAAGCCAAAGAAAAAGCCATCCTTTTTTTTTAAAAAAAAGTGCACGATTTTCAGTGTCTTTTCTTTTCCTTTTAAAATCCCCCATTTAACGCTGCATATGAATGAATATACACTTCCGAGCTCTCACAGAACACCCTGCAGATGATAAAACTCATCGGTATTTAAATGCATAATCTGCAAGAGCCTCCTCGCGAGATCTGCCGTGCTAGCACCATTCATCTTGGGTCGTTTCGTGGTAGTATTTCCGTTCCCTTGTGCCTGTCCCAGGACCCGCGCTCACTCCCAGGTTGTAATGGAAACCGTTCGGGACCCTGCGGCTTTGGTGAGGTTGAGATGTGAAGGATGAGACGTAGGAAGAAGTCCTGGGGGTTCCTCCTGTGTTGGTAGCCACGGCTGCCTCGAAGGTAAGTGTCTCTCCCGGCAATGCGTGCCCCACGCTATCGTAATCATCGTGGTGTCCTAAGTAAGGGTCAGAGCCGATACGAGTCACCGTCCATTGCCCGCGCTCGCTCCCGACATAAGGGTGGGTCTGGGACTCGCTACGCATCATAGTGTTGTGCTCTGACCTTCCCCGACTCATTCGCCCTGGGGGAGTTGGAGGTAAGACCCCTTGGAGGTTGGTGAATTGGACGGGAGAAGAGTTTGCAGTTTTGTAGGTGATGTTGGGTCGCGGTGTTTGAGGTGTCTGGGGAAGCTGCCTTCGACCACGACACGGGGTGCTAACGCCAGAGGCTGACTGCAAAGGGCTGCCATTAACCGAACCACTGCCCTACATGAAAATTGGAACAAAGCGATTGAAAAAAAAAACGACACAAAAAAAACACACACACAGACACGGACACACGCACACGCAAACACACGAGACGCACAGAAAACAGAAATAAAATGGAAAAAGGACATTGAGCCAGATGAGAGAAAGAGAGCACATAAAAGGGGGAAAGGAAAAGGATGGAGCAAAAATACACAGAGACGCAGAAAACGGGGAGGGAGACAAAGTATCATAAGTGACAAACTCAAGTATTTAAGAAAGTAGGTAACAACTAGCACTAGTTAGTGTTCTACATATATGCTGAAAGCCTAGAAGTGTTAACTAGGAAGAACGTGCAACTTTAGTCATCGACAGCTTTACAACGAAAATATCATACTTACAACAAACACTCTGACTGTTCTTTTTTTAAAAAAATTGCAATATTACATTCCTTTACATTTACGTTACAGATGACCAAAAGTGCGGTCGAAGAGGTATACGTTTGTACCTTTAAAATATGTCTTAAAACCTTTTTTATTCTTTTTTGGGGGGTGTCTTGCATGCGATATTTCTTAACAGAAGTTTTTCTTTACTCAGAGGGTAATTAACGACTGGAACAGGTTACCAGGGACCAGGGAGGGTGGTTGAGGCCAGGACTAGTTGGGGTGGTTGGGTCTCAGTTAAAAAGCAGCTTGATATAGCTCCTTATTACATCTATGTCTCAAAGCGCTTCACAGTATATACTGTAAAGTGAATTGACTGTGTATTTTGTGGGTGAAATGCGGCAGCAGCGTCCCCACAAACAGTCGTGGATTGAGCGACCAAATTGTTCTTTTTTCCCCCCCAACAAGAATTTCTCACTCGGGAATCCAGGTTAGAAATATCGCAAACTAAGCCGTGTGTTGGTGGTTTATTCACGTGTTTAGTCTGGCAAAGGTAGGAATGGTGGGTTTAAGAAGGACTTACGGTTGCCGTTGGACTCCACTGGGGCATGTACTAATATCTTCTCACCTGTCTGTGGAGACTATGGTCGGGGCCTTGACTGGGAGACGTGGACCGGCTGTGATCGGTCGACTTGGTCTGCTGGGGGTCCCGGCTCCCATAGCGGTCGCAGGAATAATAGCGCTGCTTCTCCGTGGAGGACGGGGGCTTCCTGTCCTGCGACCTGCCACGTTCTCGGTCCCGCTCCCTCGAGGAATGATCTCTTGGAGAAGCCACTGAGACAGGTTCACCCACATGGCCTGAAACCAACACGGGCATCGCAATTAACAAATGAGACGTGTTATTCCACAGGTTGCTTCCATATGTGTGGGAGGAAGGGAGGGAGGGAGGGAGAGGGTGACACCGCATGATGATGCTGGAGGCAGAAGTTTTTTTTTGGCCAGCCGAGTGTCTTGACACGCACGATGAACCATCGCTGCGCTTAAGGGTACCCAAACCAGCCGGAGAGTTCTGTACACGCCACCTACACCAGGGACATTTCCCAGCGCAGCTTACCAGTGTCTGACTTACCTGTCTCTCCGTCTCCATGCCTGCTGGGCGACCGCTCCAGGGAGCGTTGCTTTTTGTCCTTCCTCCGATGGCAGCGGTGGTGATGGTGGTGATGGTGAGGCATCTGATCTGGTGCCACTCGCTCGAGCGGGTAGTCGCGGAGGTGGGTGCTGTGGGTCTGAGCCCGCTGCGGTGTCAGCGTGGACACTGACCGCTTCATGGGGTTGGTGTCCGGTATAGGCTACACAGAAAGCACACGTGCCCAGCCGAGTCAGTCAGTCCGTCAGTCAGTCAGTCAGAGAACTTAAACGCCATCAGTCACACAATACACCCGTCGCACCGGATGTTACAATTGCAACGGTTCTCACATTTGCACCCGCACTCACCTGCAAAACACACAGTCACTACACTTCACAACACATCCAGCAAAGCGCTTTTGAGACGTCCTCGCGGCCTGAAAAGCGCCATGTCGAGCACAAGAACGATTTGCGACTGTTATCACTATTATTTGCTAGACGGTAGCAGCTTTTCATGTCAAAGGGTTTTGAAGAGCTTTGCACGTGAAGTACTTTGAAGTGCAGCGACTTGTTATGTTGGCAAACGTAGCAGATAAACATCCAGGTGCCACAGTGAACTGAAATATCCACTTGAGTCTGTACTCGGGGGTGACTTTAGACCAGAGAAGAATATTGCCCAGGAGATCACACCCCCACCGCCCCCCCCAACCCTGCCCCCTCTTTGAATTAAAGACAGAATTTTTTTTAACGTCCTCTTGACCAGGAAGGAAGGACAGAAGGCAGATGAGGTCAGATCCATTCCATTGAGATGGATGGCAGTTCTGACCCTGCTTACATCCCAACTGGGATTAAATGCATTCCCTGTCCTGGTTGTGTATTGCACTGGGTGTAAAGACAACGAGAAATTTCAAGGCCTTTTATATCAATGTAGAGCAGTAAGGGGAGATCTTTCACCAGGACTCAAAACCACATCACCAGGCACTTAGCAACCCCTGGGCTTGTGAACTGTCAAAGCTCCTTCACACCGACCACACCTTTTGGGGGAGAACAGCAGAGATTCACAAATAAAGCTGAAGCAATCAAACAAGCGTAGACATAATATGAGTTACATACTGCAAGGAAATTCCCCGACGATCGCGTTGATTTCTTCAGCAAAGGGTCGGACAAGGTGATAGACAATTGAAGCAGCCCAGAGCACAGCAGGACACCACGGTTATGGAGGCGAGCGATGATGAGGTTGAGGGCAGTGAACAGTGGTGGGGTGGGTGGAGGTGGGGTGTAAGGGGAGGGTGGGGGGGGGGGAGGAAAGGAGAAAGAAATAAAAACACAAAGCGTGCAAAACACCAAAGATATTTTACAAAGAACGCCCCCCCCCCCACCCCTCACCCCACCCCAAAAGCCCCAAAACCACAGAACACAAAAAGATAGGCCCACAAAGCAGGTCAGAGATAAGAAGAATAAATAAGAGCCAAAGATGGAATTGAACGAGAGAGAGAGAAGAACATTATAAAATAAAAGCGAGGATGAAAAGGGACGTTTTGAGGAGGGGAAACAGTTATAGTGGATTCAGATGGGTGGGGAGGGGAAGACAAAAGCACAAAAAGGACACACAGTTACTGCACTGGAGCTCAAAATAACAAAGCCATTATGTTACAGGACGCCAGGAGGATTTGGTGTGTGTGCGCGCGTGAGCGTGGCTTACAATGAACGACGTTTACCGGACTGAACGAGTGCAAAAAGCAACAGAGAAATGTTAAACCCAGACACCGAACACCAAACGCACCCGACCATTGAGACACTCCACTCACAATGAAATGTAGGGTCTTCCGGTTACGTCTCAAGCAAGAGTGTGGCAGTCCCTGATGGCAATAGACTGATGAGTTTCATTCAGACCAGCTGGACCTCCTCTGAGCATCCGTTCTGAGCTGAGATCAGCGTCAAACCCCCACCCCAATGGGGAAGCACTGGGCGATCTCCCTCCCCACCCTCCCACCCCCCGCAGGTGCGCTCTACGTTATAAACCTGTCGTCTGCTCCTCACCTGGCACTCTGCGGTGAGCCGGGGCATGGAGGCTGCTCGGCCATGATTCTCCAGGCCTGGCTGATCCTCCTGGTTGAGGTCGTGTCCCAATTCCGTCATCTCCACAGCCTGGGCAAAGGGAAGAAAGTATCAGCTGCTCACGTTCAAACCGGATCCTCTCCCACTGGGGAGGCTCTGAATCAAATCGCCTAATGGCAGCCAATTGTGCACAGCAGGGTCCCGCAAACAGCCGTGGATTGAGTGACCACCTTTTTTTGGGGGGTGGGGTGGGGATTATTACCCCCGGAAAGCGATCCGCCAATCAACTAACAACTGGGTTCCTCCTTATGGATTGGTATCCAGAGGCCCTGTTATGTGGCAAAAAGTAGTGACCGTGAATTAATTAATCAATCGTCTGACGCTTTGGTGAATTCTTGTGCTCATCAAAGCCAAGTTCCTACCTGAGAATGACTTGGATCAATCGGTCCTTCATCTGGTTGAACCAACTCAGGGATTCGCATTCTGGACTGACTCAATGCCTCTTCGGTACGGGGCAAAGTGGAGGAGTCTTTTATTCCACTGCCCTGTATCAGACTGAAGAAAAGAGTGAAGAGAGAGAGGAGAAAGAGGAGAGAGAGAAATTGGTCCTGTACATCCTATGCATTCCCTGTCAGAAGATCCCAGCAAACCGTGCAGAACAAAATGCCGAATCTCGACTTTGCCGATTATTGTCTGAATTGTAAGAGTACGTTTACCAATTCCTGTTAGAAAACCTCGACCATTAGAATTGGGCGGGGGGGCGGGAGGGAGGAGAGTCTTCCTTCAGCTGTTATCAGCCAAACACCTACCTTAAACTATATGAACTGAAAGTTAGGCAGGAGACTTTTGACAGGAGAGGCCTGAGGAGGGGCTGAGGAGCCCTTGCCGTTCGGGAGAGTCTGATACTTACGCGTTGCCCCCGTTGTTGAGCGAGGTCCTGCTGGGCTGACGAGACACGGGCTTGGCATTGCCCAGGGAGGGCGGCTGCTCTTGTGATGGTGTCAAGGCTCCCACCATGCGCTGAAAGAACGATGTTCGAGGCTGTTGTGAGACACAATGCCATGCGGCTCTGGGATGAAAGGGACTCATGGATGCAACGGGAACAAATGCAGGAGCAAAAAACCAAAATAAAAATCCCGGTGAGACTGACACCGACTCCGCTGCCGATTGATGCTAAAGTGCACAAGGAGCTAAAGTAGAGAAAGGTGTTTTCAGAGCTGACCTGATAGAGCTACGTAGGGTTGGAACTGGGACTGAAGGAAGTACACGCAGAGCAGCACTTGCAGATGCACCGAGACAGTAGAACAAGAGGCCACAGGATTAGGGTTAGACAATAATAACAATAATAATAATCCTGCATTTGACATAGCGCCTTATCACGTCTTCGAGACGTCTCAAAGCGCTTCATAGGATATACTGTAAAGTGAATTGACTGAATATTTTGTGGATAAACGCGGCAGCCAATTGCGCACAGCAGCGTCCCCACAAACAGTCGGGGATTGAGTGACCAAATTATTGTTATTATATATTTTTTTTTAAAAGGGATTTTTGCCACAGGAAAAGCGATCCGCCAATTGACTAACAGCTGGGTTCCTGCTTCCTGCTTAAGGTTTTAAGAGATTTGTAAACTTAAAAGGTGAAGTAACGCTTGTTTGCCTTTTGCTTTTATTGAATTACAAAAAAAAAGGGCAAATTCTGGTCTTTGGCACCAAGCAGCAGCCTGGAGTAAGACAGACCCTGACGTCAGGTACGGCTTGGTGGGCAACGCTATGGCTGAGGTCGCGGACGGCTCAGGTTCTTCTCTGTAACCAGTGACAGGTGATCAGGACAGGAGCTCGGGCAAGTGGAGGGAAAAGAGGAGCAGACGGAGATTGGGTGGGTGGGTGTTTGGGTGGGGCTGCCTCCATTTCTCTTGCTGAAAACCTCAGTGTAGTGACTGGATTTGCTCTTGGGAGGAAAAAGATTGGAGAGGAGGGGTGTGTGTGTATAATCCCAGTTATAAATCAGATCAGGTCAGTGCACCTAGACACCGTTGCCATTCCTGAGCTCCTGGTCAGAGAGAGACCTCGGGAACCAGAGGCAACTGCAGTTTGGAGAGAGATCGCAAGATAAAGCGGAACAAAAAAGAAGAGGGAAAAGGGAAAGACAAGGCAGGGCAGAGTGTGTATCCAGGAATAACACTGACAGAGAGGGTCGAGCAGTGGGCCGGGGGGGAAGGAAAGAGCAACATGAAAGAGTAGGACCGGGTGGCTCAGGGTGGAATGAAAGCACTTCCGAGTTAAAGTGATGGGAAACATAGGTCTAGGCAATCAATTAGTTCCAGTAGCAAAGCAAGTCATAGTAAGAAACATCACCCAGGATCCACACATACCCACACACACACATACCTACACACCCACATACCCACACACATACCACACACACACACCCACATACCCACACACACATACCCACACATACCCACACACACACACGTACCCACACACATACCCACACAAACGAGAGAGAATACAGCATTTAAGCATTTATCCCACTCCCGAAGACATGTAGATGACATTTACAAATAGGATTCCCTTCATGTTTGTTGGTTTCTCCCATATTCACATATATCGGCCCCCACAGTAGCTTTCCCCCACTCGCCACCTCCGCGAGTAACAACAACTTGCATTTATGTACTGCCCTTCGTGTAGAATAATGCCTCGGAATGCTTCGGAGCGTTTGTGAAGTGCAGCGACTGTGTCTCTGTAGGCAAACGCAGCAGCCGATACGTTCGTCGGGTATTGAGAGATTGTAGCCGTGGTACCCAGTCACTGACTCTGTCCCTTCGCACCCTGGCACCTCCCTACCTGCTTATGCCCAACCCACTACCTGCTGCCTCCGCTCTACTGGCTCCGGCCTCCTGCATGTCCCCCGTGCCCACCACCCCAGTCACTACACCCTGAAACGCTCTTCCTCTGTCCCTCACTCCTGGCCCCTTCCTTCCCCATCTTCAGGTCCCGCACGAAGACCTTCCCCTTCGACCGCGCCCAGTCACTGTCAAGTGCTCTGGGACGCTGCCCTGCGTGAGAGGCGCTGTGCAAATGCAAGTTGTTGTTGTTGTTGGCATTGCTCAGTGCCTGACCCTGTGGTCACCAACCTGCTGCTGCTGCTGTTGTTGCTGTATTCGTTTGCTTTTGTTCTGCTTGTAGTAATCAAAAATCATCAGAGCGGCATAAACCTTCCCCACCGTGAGCTCAGTAGCTGCAGACAGAAAACACACATGACAAGAGGAACAGCCGAGTTCATCGTCAGGACACACACACCCTGAATAGAGCTCAGCACACGGCTTACTGAACCTCGACTTCATCAACTTGAGATGTCCATACATCCCACTTACTGTATTATATATATATATATATACACACACACACAGAGGGTGACCTAAAAGTCATGATATCTAGTCTATTATCTAAAAATAATCATCATTTCTTTAAGATTTATTAGACATTTTAATGGTATCATGACTTTTTGGTCAACTCTGTATATATATTATATATATATTATATATATACACACACACTACTGGTGCTACCTCTGACTGAGGATTAACAGAGCGATAACTTGGTAAGGTTCCAAGTACAAAGGATAACTTCCGTCTTTCCTACCATTATGCAAGCAAGGGAAACCAAAATGAAAGACTCAACAAGAATAATAAGCACTCAATCTGGTATTCTGTAGTGCCTTTCACATCAGGAGCAAGACTCAAAGCGCTTCACAGGATATACTGTAAATTAATAATATTAATAATCCTTACATTTGATAGAGTGCCTTATCACGTCGTTGGGACATCGCAACGTGCTGTAAAGTGAATTGACTGTATATTTTGTGGGTGAAAAGTACAGTGTCTGTGTGTTTTGTGGGTGAACACAGTTACCGACTTGCACTCAGCAGTGTCCCACAAACAGCCGATAGGGTGAGTGACCAATTTTATTTGGGGGATTGTTGGCCAGGACACCGGGGGAAAGAGAGAGAGAGGAGTGTCACAGGATCTTTAACGTCCACCTGAACAGGCAGATGGACCTTCGGTTTAACGTTCAACTGAAGGAAGACTCTCCTCCCTCCCGCCCCCCCCGCCCACCCCTTCCCCAGTCCCCACTCCGTTCCCCGATCTAAAATTATTTGCATCTAATATAAATCCGAGTGTTTCTTTTAAAAGAAACGTAACCAGATGCTCTCAAGAGTTTGCTTTGATTCCGAGCGCACGGGTCTTTAAAACGTTATAAATACACATTCACGATCCCTTTTGCGTGAACTTTTAACACAGGACTGTCTGGTGCACAGCTTCTGGCCAACCAACTGTCTAAACCTCACGGGCTTCCTGCTTGCCTTTCCCCGGCTCCCGAGCACAGCTCTAACCCAACCCAGATCCAAACATCGAGACCTGCCTTTGTTCTGGTCTGATCCGTTCAAACAAGGGAGATGCTGACGGCTGAAGGTGTAGAAATTCACCTGCTCTTGTTGGCCCTATAGGCTCTGACAGATGTTACTGTGACCACTTCAAACAGATGCCTGGCTTGTAACTCTTCACACCCGGTGATGTACAAATGCACTTTGCTTTTTACTGCATTTTACTCCCTTTTTTCCCCCCCTCCCCTTGTCCTGACTGTGAAAGGGCTCCAGTCTCGGGCTGTGTTGTTGTTGTGGTTGTTATCGTGCATTTGGTGATTTACTGACAAGTGGTAACCCACGTGGGTAGGATAAGGAAGCCGATCAGGAAGCTTTTAGGGCTTGAGCCCGGTTTGAGGAGCAGCCAATCAACTGTCACGGTGGTGAGATCCCCTCTCCTCCCAACTCCACATTATACCAGTGTCGTACTTTGGTTTCTTAGTGATATGTGATGTGTATTTTATGTGAGACTTCCTGTTCCATAAGATGGAATTAATGGAAGGTGTGGGTAAGAGTTTATCTTTATCCTGAAGCTCGGTAAAATCGCTCAGACTTCTGAGACATTTGTTTGTATTTTATGATACGTTTTACTTCAATGTTCCTGTATAATGTCCCTACACAATACTATATTTCTACAAGCAATGGAATATTTATGTTTCTTCAGACTTTGTTTGTACAAACAATTCTTATCATTTCATCAACTCATACTCTTATTTTTATCACAAGTAATAATTTTTGTGTAACTCTCTAATAGTTGGCTACAGCACACGGTCTAAATGGTTTACACAATCATGCAGGCAATTCAGCCTTATGACAGTTTAAGATAAGACAAGCGACATCCTATACTAATCTCTGGGATGATTTTGGCTGAGTGATTCCCCTAAGGTACTTCACATCATCAAAGCTGTTGGTCGCTAAGTGTACTCACAATTTCTTAATGCTAAATTCTGGATGGCGGAGGGAAAACTCTTTACCTCGGAGTACCAAGCTGATACCTCTCAGGGTCTCAACAACACTTTTCGTGTTCAGTCGATTCCGATTTTCACAACCGAAACCTCGAGCTTCTACGTGTTTAGGAAACTGGCTTTTTTGTTTATTTTGGATTTTTACTTCCTCATTTTCCGTGTCTTTGTACTTGTTTTGATCTTCCTCGTTTCCCGGGTGCTTTGTCTGGTAAGTCTCTCTCTCTCTCTCTCTCTCTCTCTCTCTCTCTCTCATCTGACTTCATTTTATCAGATTCCTCATTGTCTGATCTCCCCTCAGCCCATTTGCAAATGTCGCTTTATGCTGGGCTATAAGCTCACTAGGCACAACCATACACGGTCTGGGCTCTCTTGTATGTATCATGCCTTCTCCTGGCTCGCGACCCTTAGGCCGGGAGAATCTACCTTCAAGAATTCCCTGATCACTAAAGGTAACTCCGGTGCTATCTCCTACCTCGTTCCAGTTCACAGGCACCACAATGGGTTTTCCTTGCACTGGACCCAGGAATCCGATAGGACTCGGTACGTTATTCTCACACCACACCATCGTGTCACCGTCTAACAGCTTCCAGCCCCAATCACCAACATTTCAGATCAGCGCCAGAAGGCTCTTTCGAGAGACTTTTATATATATGTAAAAAAACTTGCACTTGATATAATTTCTTTGAGAAGTCTCAAAGCACTTGGCAAGGATTTACTGTGGAGTGACCGTGTATGGTGATGAACTCCCAACATTGAGTATTTGTGGCTTAACAGCTCCCCCACCCCAGCAATATCTCCTCTGAACTCTCTCGTCTGCCCAGTTGTCACTTGGAAGCCACACAGATGGTTCGTCTCCGGGCACAAAGAGCCTCATTCCCCCATGAGGGAAGGAGCACACTCGGAAGGTTCATGTGGAGGATACTCACGCTTGTGGGGAGGCACCAGCATGTCCAGCATCTTTTGAGACAGGTTGGGCCAGACTGTGGTTAATTCTTTCCTGAGCTCTGCGTCGCTCTGCTGCTGGAATGCGCCTCCTGGGGGAGGAGATAGAACACAGCAACACGTTCACCCTCACTTTACCACTGACCGAAGCCAGATCTCGCTGGAGTTGAAGAGACCCGGCCAGTACAGAGGACACGAGGGGCCTAAACAGGACCAGGCGACCCTCACTAGCCCGTGCTGGGGGTCTACGGTCCACAAGAGGTGTAGCACAACGACGACGACAACCTGCATTTATATAGTGCCCTTCACGGAGGGTGGGGGGAGGTGGGAGGTGGCTTAGCGCCCCGGAGCCCTCGTCAGTGGTCCAGGCCACTGTGTGCGAGCATTTCCTGAAGCTACGCGATGAGACCTCCCCCCCCACACCACTCCCCGCCCCCCGCCCCCTGCGCTTGTCCTACCCACCTCCGGCGATTTTAATATCCAGAGCCGTCCTGATCAACGCCACCAGCGTCGACGTGAAGTGGACCGAGCCGTCCTCAGCAATGGGCATGTTCATTCTCACCAGCCGCTGCGAGCAAAGGGCGACAGAGACCCGGGTCAGCAGAGACATCGCTGCCCCTGCCAGAGGCCAGTGGGCAACACGACGACGACGACAATGACAACAACAACAACAGCAAAAGCAGTGTTAACTCTTCATCTGCTGACCCGAGTGGTGTCTGGTCCAGACTGCGTGAATGTCTTTAAGAATAGCTTCTGACTGGAATGGGTTCTCTCGGGCACGACATTGGAGCCATCAACACCCATCGCAGCTGCACCCCAACGGAAGGCAAGTGAAGTCAAATGCCCGATTCGGGACATCCAATACCAGTGGACAGTAATACCGCAGCGCGAGGGGGTGGACGGCTGATTCTTAAACAAATAAGATAATAAATAATAAATAAGAAAATAAGAGGGAGAAACGTCTCTGATCAGAACAGAATTTAACAATGATGTTTGATTCCGTGCCTCTCAATTCAGGATGATATCACAAAGCGCTTCACAGGATGTACCGTAAAGTGTAGTGACTGTGTATACTGTAGGGAAATGCGGGGGCTGATTTGGGTACTGACCACAATGAAGACGACTGGTCTTGGTGCTTCGAATGGGATTAACCATATTGTGGGTGAGCAACGGCAGAATCCAGTTGCTTTACCTTCTAGTGGAATTATTCCGTCTCCCCATCTCTCTCCCGCTCCAACCACCTCCCCCCCCACCCACCCCTCCACCCAACCACCACCCGGTCAGCAGACCAGGAGCTAAGATGTTCCTTAGTCTCAATGCAACGGAATGCAAACAACTTACTGAAAGAGTTAATGTGAATCCATTCGAGAGTCAAGAGGAGTGTAGAGAAGGAGAGAGAGAGAGAAAGAAGGAGAGAGAGGAGAAAGGAAGAAATGCATGGCAATGAACAGGCAGGTGAAATGCTCTTCCAAACACGAACAGGCACAGACTCGCATGCAATTCAAGCGGCAGGTAAGTTAGTGCGTGCCAGAATGCAAGAGAAATGAACTGTACAGGGATAGGATTTTGCCCGGCTACTCTGTTACACCAGAAGACAGATCGTGGAAGACCTTAGCAGATCGATATACAAATAGAGACAAACGAGAGAACAGACGTTGAGAAGAAAAATGCAGGAATTTTGTTTGTTTTTATCTGAGAGAAAGACAGAGAGTTTCGCTTTGAGCTTTTCTTTTTGCCAGACCAAAAAAACGTTTTCGAAGCGATTTTTTAATTCCAAACAGTAAGAGGAAGAAGAAGAAAAGTTGAGAGAAAAAGGACTTTTATATATCTATATATATCTATTAAAAAAACAGTGCGACGTTAATACACAACGGATCGTTAGTTAAAGCCAATAATTAAAACAATCAATTGTGCACAGTACAGATGAATTACGTTAATAATTTAAACTGCACATCAAAATGTTTGAAATGAGGTGGAGTGCTGTTGTATTTGGTAACTGTATGGAAGCTGCTTATAAGTGGAGTAAACGTTTATTTTTGGGTGTCGTTGTCTAACCTACTCCCCACTGGCATATTGCCTCTGCCCCTGGACTGGCCTCCTTTCTGGCTGCGGGGTATTTCCGTGGACACTGGTTGCCTCCGTTACCCACTGCCCCAAGTGTCTATTGCCCGTAGGAAAGACACGGCTGTCACAGCAGCAGCAGGTGCTGTAGTAGGAACACTGGCTGATTCAGCCTCACACAGGGTGGGATTGGAACCCGTGACCCTCCTCTGTCCACTACACTATTGGGGCTGCCCCAAGTAGTCGAACTTGCCCTATTTTCTGAACTAGTTGAGATCAATGTGAACCTGATTTCAACCCTAACCCAGATCTGGGAATGAATGCAAAACACAGGGAGTTTGGTTCCCTCATTGCTTTTGGTTCTGTTGTAATCTAGCAGCTGCTGTGTTTGCTCGTTGAGTGAACTGTCACTGTCACTATCTCGCTTCATGATTGATATCAATGCTTCCATGTAGCCAAATCACTCCATTAATCAACCTCCAGCTAAGCAGAGATCAAAGGCCCCCCAGAAAGCTTCCTAACCTCAAGACCATTGCCTCTCCAAAATAAATATTGTGTTGAATGTTGGAAAATCCTTAAATTCACAGTCTTATTTCGGAAGTTATAATCCTAATAATATATAACAATCCTCACGTTTCACATAGTACTTTATCACGTTGTTGAGATGTCTCAAAAGCTTCACAGAATATACTGTAAAATGGATTGACTATATTTTGTGGGGAAAACTCAGCAGCCAATTGTGCACAGCAGTGTCCCACAAACAGTCATGGATTGAGTGACCAAATTATTACATACATATTGTTGAGGGATTATTATCCCTGGAAAGCAATCCGTCAACTGGATTCCTACTTACTGCTAGGTAAACAGAGGCGTGTGGAGTAAGGAAACTTGCCTAAGTCTTTGCCCTGCCCGGGAATCAAACCCGTGAAAGTTTTTTAAGAACTGTGGAAAACCGGTTTCAAAATAAAGGCTGAATTTTAGACGTTTCCGACATTCTCCACAATCGTATCTTTTAAGACAATGGTGAAAAGGCTAAGACTACCAGACGTTGTGTAGTTTATAACCAGGACCTTAGAAACACAGGCAAAAGGTTGAATATCGCTGCTCCAACTTTTGTGCTGCTGTTGCACGTGTGGTTTCTGAATGACAATAGAGCAGTGGGAACAGTTGGGTAAATATAACAGCACTCACAGTAAAGCACAGATTTGTTTTGGGATTGGACACAGAAGGTTTACTTGTGGACACTTAGTTTGTATTGCTACCTTGTAGGCGATTCTTGCAGGACATTTCTTTCCCAGACCTAAGGGTGGACACATATGCCTCAGCATCTCATACATGTCATTGTAAGCGATGCGCCCACTTTGGAAAAGAAGTGAGGAGGCAAAACCAAAACGGAAAGAATGAAGGAGGGAACGGGGAACGGAAGAGGGAAAGGGAGAACAGAAGAGGAAGAGAAGGATGGGGGTGGTGGTGGGGGGGGAGAGAATGGAATAAACAGAAAGAAAAAAAATAGAAATTCGGGTTAATTAGATGTCCAAATGGATTTTCCAACGCAAAGACAGAGCTTTGCACTGGGACTGTTACTTATCTCTCTCTCTCTCTCTCTCTCGCAGTGAATGCTAGGCTAGCTGAATCCCCGATGCAATAAAGAATGATGGCCAGGTTAGTAAAATGGGACATGACGTACGTGTGAGCGATGGTGGAGGGGGCGGGGGGGGGTGGGGGGGGTTTGTTTTTCAATACAAGGATCCCCAAAGTCAGCATGCCACGGGAGGTTACAACCAAACTCAGAAAAAAAGCCAAATATGGGAATGAGTGGAGTGGGATGGTCAGGTCAGTTGTTGCTTTGGTTTTTGAGTTGCAGACAATCAGGGCTTGTGACCATAGGCTGATTTTTCCGATCAGTTTAAATCCAAACCTTATAGGCCACCCTATGTGGGCAGTTCTTCCCTAAGCCCAGTGGCGGTGAGATTACACGCAACAAACTGTACATATCCTTATAATGAATGCGGCCACTGCAAAGAGAATTCCACAGGTTAGAAAGTACGAGCGCACGGATTTTCTTAACGGAATCGAATCGACTCAACGACACAACTGTACATGCAGCGACTATTTCCGTCATTTCGGAGCCAAAAAAAAGAGGAGATTTTTAAAAAAAAAAACACTTTCTTTTTAAATTGGGGGTGGGCCAACGGACAAAATGAGGGTGGGAGGGGTGGGGGGGGGGCGGCAGTATTTTGTTCACCTGTACGATTAAACGCCTTTGGAATTCCACATTGCCAAAGGAAATGGGCGTAACGGAATTTTTACCCCATAACAAACATCCCCCCACCCCTCCTTCCCCCTCACCCCCACCCACACTTCCGAAATCAAGCTGCACAGATACTGCCACGTTTCTCCTCCACTTACAATATTAATAAAGATTCGATAATGACATTGAAAGAGCGTTCCTTCTCGATTCCCTGCTTGGGGTCATCGAGGTTTAAACACAGATGTGAATATGCAACAGTAGCTCCTGCCTTAGATTTTTTTTAATTTAAAGTTTATACATTTTTTAAAAAAAGTTTATAACCTCTTGAATTTTTTTTTGTTTCTTTTTTTAAAAAAAAATCAAGGCGATTTGCTGAACCGTGTTAACCATCCTGTTGGAACAGTTTGAATAAATGGTTCCAAGGCAGACAAATAAGTAAGAAAGAAGTCCCTTTAAACGTCTCTTTCTTGGCCACTCCAACACAACTCAGGCCTAAATTGACTTGTGCGTTAAAAAAGGAACGGGACCAAAGATTTACCTCCACACTTTGTTCATATATCTCCAGAACAATATGTGCAGCGTTGAGATTAAAACATTCAACTTAATCAGAATCGAGTGAAACATAGCAATACATGCTGACTGCTTTTGAGCACAAAGGTGCTGTAAAAGGTTGGCCTCAGGTTTTATAGCTGTGATCGATAGATCGGCTGGAATGAACATTGGGATCTATTAATCCTGTAATGGTTAAAGTTCAGTCCGGGCTGTACTGTCGAATGTGAAGGAACTGGACTCAATAGTAATGTTAAATAGCCTCACGATTCTCCTACGTCTTTCTAACCAAATTTACTGTGTAATGTGGGCCACGTAAAGATCACATTCCCACCGTGGGTCCTGATGCTGTGATGTCCAGTTTATGCCGATTGCTAAAAATATTTGTTGTGTTTACAGCGGGATTTCTCATTACAGTGAAAAGATGGATAATTTCAGTGATCCACACGAGTTGGGCTGGCTCGCCTGATGTGACTGAATGAGCTGCGGGGAAATGGCTGTGTTGGTAAGTCAGGTGTGACAACAACAATTTACATATCCACAGAGCCTTTCACGTTGGGAGGACATCTCCCAAACATCCACCTTCCTCCCTCCCTATTTTCAAAGCCCACCTCAAGACTTATCTCTTTGATTTTTGGTGGTGGTGGGGGGGGGAGTTTCAGCCGGAAACCCCCATCAATGTGTTTAAGAGGATCCAAGCCATACTGAGAATTCCATGCATCCCACCTACACGTGGAAATCCCAGAGATAGATTGTTGGAATGGAATGCGCTCTCTCTCCCTGGAGGGAAGCATCCTGCTCACCTAATTCCGGTAAGTATTGGGCGCAGGTTGGCCAGAGCCAAGGCTTGGGGACCCCAGAGTGTGTGTTGGGGTAACTGCTGGAGTCTAACCAGCTAAAACCGCATAACTTGCCATTACCTCTTTGACTGCACTTTCAGTCCGCTCTCTTCTCCTCCCAATTACACTTTTTAACTCATTCCCCCCAAAACGGCTAGCTGTGTAAAATGCTCCAAAACGTCCTCCCGATGTAAAGGGCACTGCGCAATTGAATGTGGTTTGTGCTGTTCTGTATGTATATCACCTCTCATAAACTTCACTGGAATCACGCGCCTGTAATCTTCACTTTTATTGCGTTTTGACTGCTCTGCATCTATCAATCAGACTTTATGCCACATTTAACAGGAACAATATCGCTGACATTCGACTGGATGCAAGACAAGAAGGGACAATCAATCAAGCCAACTGTCCTCAAGCCTCTTGCAATCTGTGACAATGATAAAGTATCAAAGTTAACAGATATTTATGAGCAGTTAAGACCCGAATGCCTCCCCCCAACCCCCCACCCCGGGTCATTCAGTCTTATAATTTAAGATAGGGGCAGAATAGCGAAAGGAAAACAAGTTATTCAATCCAGTCTTAATTTGGAAGCCAACTTTCCCAGTTTTTTAAGGAAAATAAAGCGATTTCCGGATCGACACTGATTTTATGGGCTAAAATTAGGGGGAATTTCAGCACTTTTATGAACTTTAGGTGGGAACAGAATCTCTGTCGAATTAAATGAATGAGTTATTGATTTTTTATTGCTTGGCAAATGAGGAAGGTTAGAGTCTGAGCAACCAGATGCCTTCCCGCGCATTCAAGACTCTTGTTCAACTTCTTGTCCCCCAAGTACAATTTTTTTTTTAACCTGATGTCAAAACTTCTCCTCAATGCAAGTCCCTCACCACCTCCATTTACCTTCTGGCTTCTGTCAGTGAGATTGAATGGATGGTCTGATTGATCACTTATGTCCTGGAGGCTGTATCTATTGCAGCCCTGGATGCTACATGGAGTAACTTGTGAATTCTACATGGTTTGTTGTTTCTCATCGGCTTGTTGACAGGTCATTCATTGAGTGGTGTGGGGGGGTGGCTGTTGTGAGGGAAGCATGCTCCCATGTTGTTCCTTCATCCAATGGATGTGTGCCCCTACAGACCAGTCTATGCCTGACACTGCCACAGGAAGTAACATGTTGACTCTGTTTATCCAAGTTTCTCTCCACTGTTCTATCCCGGTGCACACCTTACTGATGTGCATAAAGGTGTGCGCTTTAATACAATGGGAGACCTAAAAAGTGAAGGGGAAATATGGAGATGGGGTAGGAAAGGAAAGTAACAGAGTGGAGGGAAGGAGGAGAGCAGGAGAATCTGATTAATTCTCACTCTTTGAACGCTCGGCTGACGTCATTGTGCCAGACGTTGCCCGGCGCCCTTTGTGGCCGGTTGTTTTTCAGACTTTATATCCGCTGTGGCCCCGGGATTGGTGGGGTGCTCGGTTACTGTTGAATCCCTCGGTTATAAAGTCAGTGATAAGTAGAGCCAGCTGTCGATGCTAAAATGCGTCCAGATGTCTATGAAAGGTACGCTTATGTTACATTACATTTTTTCTTTCTTACCCAAATCAATCATTCCCTTTTGCAGCTTCATAAAACAGTTTGAAGCCGCACATGGCTGCCATGTTGTAATTGGGTGGCCATTGTTTCAGACGCTGTACATATTGCACGGTAATACAATGCCCCTTAACAATCTACCGACCAATTCGACTGAGCTGCGAGCTTACATACCAGGCTCCAGGATCGTACTCAGCCCAGACCCGTATGAACTCATCCAGGTGGTGAGGTCCCAATATGGATGAGTCTCGCGTCAAATACTCAAAGTTGTCCATAATGACAGCTACAAAAAGATTTAGCATCTGGCAAACAGAAAGGAGAGAAAGAGAAAGAGAGAGACAAGTAAAACAATTGTATAGATTCACAAGATCGCAGGAGAAGAAGGTGCTTTTGATCTCATCCTTCCACCAGCCGACCATCCTCCCACCACAGCATCCAACTCCAAAGTAAATGGAACCACAGTTGGTCCCACTGAACACCCATCAAGATGCTTAACAACAACAACAATAACAACTTGCATTTCTATATCACCCTTCACACGGGATAGTTTCCCGGAGCGCTTGACAGTGGTGGAGTCTGACTCTGAGTCAACGCAGCCATCAGCAGAGACAAGTGCAAATCCCCCCACGGAACCCAGGGATGTCTTGTAATTGGTGGAAGGCCGTTGGATCCAATAAAAAGTCTTTTGATGCTGTAACAAATTGACCGATTCAATTTCTCAGTTTAATCTCATCAGTTTGTTCCACCCACTCCTGTGCAACAGATACCAGGCTGGGATTGGGGGGCGGGGAGAGAGTCGGGGGGTGGTTGTTGAGAATGTGTCTTGTTCTAGATGGTAAATCATGGGTGTTTGCAGGTGACCATTGGATAATTTCAGTTGCACCCAAAGTCTTCGACCTTTGTGCTATTCTGCTCTCAGCTCTCTGGAATTCCAGCTCAAAGTCCTGCACCTCACCCCCTCACCTTTAAAGCTTTCTGTCCCCCCCACCCCCCGCCCCCCTCAGTTCAGGGTCTCAGTCAGCAATGCGAAGCCCTTCTCAAGGTAAAAGGTGCTCTTCAAGTGCAAAGTGCAATAAGGGAATAATGTTGCGAAGTCAATGAGAATGATTGAGAGGGAGGAAAGGAGGAGGAATTTTAGATTGTTGGCCAAAGGCAATGTCAAAGAGAAGATATTACAAGGATTTAAAGGGGGGAGACAGAGAGAGAAGGCTAACGGATTTTGGAAGGAGAGCTCTGTAATCAGAGCCCGGCTCTTCCTCACCACTGTTGTACGAAACCTTAGTTAACAAGTAGCCAAATGTCAAACTCCAAATGTAATCAGGTGACATTGCTGTGCATCATAAATCAGCAACTGTCAGTTGTGAGCGAGATAGCAGACAGCTAGGAATGTGTTTTAAGCAGTAGTACACACAGGAGCTCCAAGGATATCAAACACCCTGCAGGCGAAACTCATATGCTTCTCAGCAACGAGTTTGTTATTCTTTCTGGGAATTTTTTTTTCCCAATGTAACTAATCCAACGAGCTGGAAGGCAGTGGGGCACAACACTGGGTCCCCCGGATCTCGGGACAATTCAGCGGGTGAATCCCGCGATGAGCACACTCGGTGTCAGTCTGGCTCAGTCGGTAGCACTCTTGCCTCTGGTTCAGTAGTTTGTGGGTTCAAACCCCGCTTCGAGACTACAAACTCGTAGTCTAGGCTGGTACTCCAACACGTTGTTGGGGGTGCACTGCAGCCGCAGTGATGGAGGTGTTGTGCTTTGGAAGAGACATCAAGGTCCTGTGTGCCTGCTCAGATGGACGTTAAAGATCCTGAGACACTATTTTTCAAAGAGAATAAAGTTTCTCCTGTTGCCTGGCTAACAAGCTCCCAGTCTTTCACCTCATGGCTGTTTGGGACGTCCTCCCGACGTGAAAGGCGCTGTACAAATGTAGTCTTGTTGCTGCTGTTGTTGTTGTGTTGTTTGTGGCACACTGCTATGCACGTATCAGATGCCGCGTTTGCCTACAAAGGTACACCAGGCACTACACTTTACAGTGAATCTCTTTGAATCGCTTTGAGACGTCCTTCCGATGTGATGAGGCGCTTTATCTGAATGTGACTCGCCAACCGGCCAAGCCCTCAAAGAGTTAAACTGATTCAGACCGGTGTTTAATGTTACACCTTATACTGGACATTGGTAGCTGGTTTGAATTATCTGGCCTTCAGCTCCGCAATAAGCTTCGCAATGCATTTTAAATACAAAACCAGCTGCTGCGTAAAAATCTCACACCTTTCAGGCGTACACACAGCATTTGTTAAACTATGCCTGCCGTCGTTATCACAGTGGGCAGAACGATTAAATCTATCAATTGGGGGGCAGTAAAAATACAAATTGTTTCCTAAATTATCAAAATCATAACTCTGAAATGAACACCCATTCAGTCAGTCTGAATTTATTTCAGGTGACATTCAGGTAGGTTTCACATCAAGTTAATTTCTTCCATTTCTCCTGGTGAAATATCAGCATATGAACCAGATTCCCAGTTCGGAGATTAAAGTGATGTAATAGTAATATAATAATCCTCGCTTACGATGGAAGTTTCAAATAAAGTGCCTGTCAATTACGTGTAGTTTCTCTCTCTCTTCAGCTTATCTCTGTCTGTGCGCTGGTGTTTCGATGAAGGCGATTTGGATATTCACAACAGATTAGTCTTTTTTGTAATTGTAAATGTATATGAAGAGCTGCAGAGAGGAGTCTCTTATTAAGATCAGTCCTGTGCTGACTGATACCTTCCACTGGTAGCCACAGAGTAACTCCACACTTAATTACTTTCGCGAGACAATATCTCAGCCAGGACCACCTGAGAGCCAAATCCAAAGCCAATAGATAGAGTGATAAATTTACAAGAAGCTGTTCAGAGTAGCTGGAGAGAGAAATGAGGCTATTTGAAACACGTTGAACAAACTCAGATTTACATCCTCTTTTCTGTTCGAAGGATCTCAGTCAAGCGAAGTCTCCCTCTGTCCTTAATATCAGATGAAAAGCGCCTCGCTTCACATCTCTCAGTTTAAGACGTTGTCAAATTTTGGACGATCCTTTACTCTTAATCTTGAAGCTGTCNTTTTTTCCGCAGGTTCAATGTTAAGGAAAGAATTTCTCTCCACCCCCCCACACCCACCCCACTTTGGATCTAACAGTCTGGGGTCTAAAGTTAGGAGGTTTCTAACACATCCCGAGTGGGAAGTTTTTTCCGTTACCCGGCAATACGTGTCCTGCTGATTCACGGGAACTCCGCTGTGAACGTTAATTGTGTTGGAGGGCACTTCCTGTGGGTCAGTGTGACCTACTTCTTGTTTACTGTATCAAGGAAACAAATAGCTGCTGCCTATTGCCCCCCCACCCCACCCCTTCCTCTCCCCCACCCCGTGAAAGGGTGGAAAGGACGTCAACTTACCAGAAAGGAGCACAGGAAAATGAAGGAGACAAAGTAGAAGTAGGCAAAATCGTTTCCACATTCAGCCTTGTCTGTGCCGGAGCGCGGATCACAGGGGCTGTGGCCCAGGCAGGCCAGCATGATCTCATGCCAGGCTTCCCCAGTGGCACTCCTGCAACAGAAAGGTGCGTTTTACAGTCAATACAGTCCAACATGTCCAACAAAAGTGCATCTCGTCTTATAGACTTTGGTTTTAGCGACATCGTTGGGGGTAAAATAATTCCCTCCATTGTTGCATGTAGTGCCTTTGGCGATGGGTGTTCATAATAATAATAATAATAACCGTTGTATTTGCTGTAGCGCCTTATCACGTCTTCGAGTCGTCTCAAAGCGCTTCACAGAATATACTGTAAAGGGAATTGACTGTATATTTTTGCGACGAAACACAGCAGCCAATTGCGCCCAGCAGCGTCCCACAAACAGTCGTGGATTGAGTGACCAAATTCTTCTTATAACTTTTTTTAAATGTTGAAGGGATTAACGGGGGGAATCCCATTGGTGGTCGATGTTGGCAAAGGCGATGCCCTGGACCCTGAATAGAATTTGTACCCAAACAATTTTGCGCTGTTTGCTAACGGATTTCTTACTGAGGAATGTTTAACAAGGTACCGAATTTCTGAAACCCTAACGGAAGAAACCACCAGTCACAGCCTGACTGTAAACTGAGGATTGTCAGACCTGATAATTGTAAATGGAATCCAGATCTCATGTTTCCACTCTTATTTTCCCAAAGCTGTGGGCCGCTAACATAGCCCATGAATTAGAAAGGCTGCAACTTCGAATGCAGTTCTTACCACAACATCTCAGAGCTTAAGTTAATGAAACGCCGTCTTGGTAAGAAATATAAGGCTGAAATGTAATATCCTGAACCCGAGTACAATATGTTTCAGATTTGGACGAGAGCAGAATGAAAGTGAGGTGGGGTGGGGCGGGGGGGGGGGGGGTGCAGGGACTGAATCAGTCTCTCCCAACATGAAGATGAGATTGCAGTTTGGTCCATGTTTGTAACAGAAACAAATAAGCCCAGATCAATGATTACATTACAGATCCCATCAACTTAAAGCAATTGCATTAATTGTTTAGGTTACGTAATACAAGCCCTGAAACGCTATGGAATTTTGAGTAAATTGTGTGTCTCTGCAGTTTGCAGCGTTTATTGTAATGTCTGTTTGTTGAATTGCAATCAAAAAATGTGGTTATACAGTACAGATGTCCAGACAGACTTACCTGAATAAGAGCATAAGAGCTTGCAAGAAGGTTCGGAAATTGTTGTGTCGATTAATCGCTCTGTTGTCATCCAGTGCGATGTTCCCAAACACCTTTTCAAAGGAAAATCTATTTGAGCATTGTTGCATCCAACTTGATCAGAACTACAGTACAATTTACATTCACACAGCTCCTTCCACCTCGGGAGGACGTCTCAAACACGCTTTGCATTGCTGACTGGGCACCCGAGCTTGGAGAAATTGTAGTAAATGACAACAAAATAATAAAAATAATCCTTACATTTGAGACTGCACCCTTCAGGTTGGGAGGATGTCTCAAAGCGCTTCCCAGGATTTACTGTAAAGTGTTGTGTATTTTGTTGGAAAATCAGGCAGCCAACTTGTGGACAGCAATGTTCTGCCATCAGCCCTAAAGTGAATGACCAATTTTATCTGGGGAATGGTTGGCAGGAACATCGGCAGAAAATTCCCTTCTCTTTTAGAGTATTGCAGCGTGATTTTTTAAATCTACCTGAACAGGTAGACAGAGCCTTGGATAAACGTCTCATCCGAAGGATAGAAAGCACAAAAGAGGTTACCTGGATTTACCAACAAGTTTTGCAAAAAGGATTGGAATCATTTGAAAATGATCATCAAACAATAGTAATAAAGGACTCCAGCTCGCTTCCTTGCTTCGACCACATGAAGCAGCCAATTTAATAGATTGAGAGGCTTCACATTTTCTTGCAGGAGATTCATGAAATTAAGGTTCCTGGAAGCAGCAGCCATCTGCCCGTTCTGGTGGATGTTAAAGGTGCAGTGGCTCTGTTTGAGAAGTGAAAAGGCGAGGCAAGGTCCCAGGGTCCTGCCCAACAATCCCCCCCCACCCCACAGAGAAAAAAAAATGTCAGTTCACTTCACAGCTGTTTGCAGTACATCGCCTTCTGCAAACTTCACCCACAGAACACACAGTCCCGACATTTTACAGTAAGATCCAGTGAAGCACTTTGAGACATTCCGATGACGTGACGAGTCATCTCATCAAATCACAAGCATTATAATCACTATTATTATTAGTAGTAGTATTATTACAGTCACCCATTACTTACCTGCATTCCAATAATGGCATAGATGAAAAACAGCATGGCAATTAGGAGACAGACATACGGCAGTGCCTGCGAGACAGAGATCAGAGAAAATTATAGTAAACGGAACAATGCCACAGAGAAAGGCACAAGGATCAACATTCCAGTAAATGGTTGTAATCCCATTTTACTAGTAGACATAACGGTGTAATGTCTATACGGTAATGTCATCAGATTACAATCGGTAGGAATAAATGTCGCCATCTCCCTGGCTCTCCTGGTTGAAGCTAAAGATGGCCAGATCAATACTATCATGTGCTTTAAATAACCAAGTGTCTGGAAAGCATTAGTTAGACCCGTGGTGTATAACACTGGACTGGATTTACCCCTCACAAGTGCCAGCAACCATTTCACAGTGAGCTTCAGGGACACAAGCAAAATGTTGCCCTCCTCCACACAACCCCACCCCACCCCCTCCCCAGGCTCCCGGCCACATGCAGGTAAGAGGCACAAACCATTCTGAATGTTAATCGCAATGCCTCCTTACCATTCACAGTTCAGGAACAGTTCAACAACAACTTCAACATTGATATAGCAGCCTCCACACCGGTAGGGTCTCAGGCTGCTCTGTTTTGCCCCCACAAAATATACAGTCACCCCACTTTAGAGTAGATTCTGCAAAGCGCTTTGAGACGTCTCGACGACACGATAAGGCGCTGTATCAAATACCACGGATTAATATGTATTATTATTAGGATTATGCATGCTTCTGGTGGAATCTGTGTGGCATTTTCCAATGCAATCATTCCACATATCAGCCAATAGATGGCACAATTATACTGTGAGACGTATATTCCCTCAATGAACTAAAACATAATTTGACGCAACAGCAGAGTCCTCGCAGTAACTCCTCTCTGCCTTACATCTTGGAGCTAACACAGGCCGACTGCACCTTCCCCAACCCCTCAGCACATCCACAGACCTTCAACCACGATTGCCCCGATGCCTGCCAATCGCCTGCCTCAATCCTTCCATTTCTCGTCCCTCTTTATCTATCTTTAAATACCAGCTCTTCGACTGAGCTTACGGTCATCCTGCCCCCCCTTCTCCCTCGCTCGGCTTACAATCCCGCCACTGTACAGCTTCCCGAGATGCTAGCCTGAGGGAAGGCCGCTGTGTAAAGGCGACGTTTCTGTTGTTTTATTGAAAATATTGACATCATGCTAAACTTTTGCTTCAAATAACACATAGAATTCCAATTCCACTACCATTTCCAATTGCGCTTTAACACGTACTGTCCCACATACTAACTAATCGATGGCACAATTATTCGGTGACAATTATATGTGGAGAATTCACATACTGTGAGACGTCAATGAACCGAGACATAATTTGCCTGTGTTCAGTATTAGGTGCTCTGCCCTGTGGTATATATAAATACTAGGCTCAGGGTCAGCAATGTATTATCATGAGACACACCTTAAAAGACTGTACGAATGTCCACAGCAGAATACGTATGGTGTAGCCCTGACGGAGCAGCTTGATGAGGCGTGCAGCCCTGAACAGTCGCAAGAAGCTGAGATTGATGAAATTATCCTGGTGAGATTGAAGATTTGAGACAGAAGAAGGATAATAAGGGATCACAGGACTGGTTCAGATGAAGAAAGACTCATCTGTTCTCATCCCTCCAGAACACCCCGCCCTACTATCCTCCCGCCACACACACAAATATACACACACACACACACATCACAGCTTCGAGCTGCTTTTTAAACGAGTCCCAAAGTGCTGGCCTCCACCACCCTGCCTGGGAACCTGTTTCCAGTCATTGGTTAAAATCGGAAACAGCGTGACTTGGGCACCAGAATTCCGAGATCGTAAGTTGACAGGGCGAAACGTTGGGTAAGTTTCCTTATTCCACACACACGCCTCTGTTTACCTAGCAGTAAGTAGGAACCTGGTTGTTAGTCGAATGGCGGATTATCACCTCCCAAAGCCTCCAGGAAGAGAGAGTGTGATTCCCATTCCAGACCCATGGAAATTTCCCTTGTGTGGTTGGCACACACAAGCGAAACTCTTTTGCTGGTTCAGCCTGGTTCGGGTAACTCTTAAACACGGTGATGGGTTTCCAAGTGTGCTAGACCAAACATACATGATACAAAATCGCATGCACCCATCAACACGACACGACAGACACGACATTTAAATAGCAAAAACAATTTCAATCAATCAATCAATCAAAAAAAAGTTTTTCTTAAGTTCATGAAACGAACCCGTTGCTACATGTCGATGTTGTTGATGGATGATTGACATTTTGGCAGTGCGCAACGGTACATTTTTGGGGTGCGGCAGGAAGACAACATACACACGGGATGGACACACGGGTTTTTCATGCGGTGTGTTCGTTTGATGGCGTGATTCCGAGTGTCGTTGGGAGAAAATTAGGAACAGAAAAAAGAGGGAAATGAGAAATTAGGTGAGGGAAACGTGAAACAGAGGCGTTAAGAACAAAACGCTGCCACAATCCAAATTCCATTTGCAATCGCTCAAAGAAATCACCCAGTCGTTGCACCTCAGATATTTCGCCCACAAAATACACAATCAATTCACTTTACAATATATTCTGTGAAGCGCTTTGAGACGCCTCGAAGACATGATGCCGCTGTACCAAATGCAAGGATTATTATTATTAAAGTCACAACAACTGGGATTCATTTCTGTGGGCACCAATGCAATTTTTTTAATATGGATCAAACAGGTAGATGACACGGACTGAAGTCATTATTCATTTATCTCAAATGACAATCTGGGTTTGATGTGCATCTTAACAATATAAGTAGACAAAGAACATCTGCAGAACTGGAATCAATGAAATTCAACATACGGTCNAAAAAATATATATCAGCTTTGATGGATTCCTGGGACAAAATTCCACCTTGGTCTAGGTTTACTCTACCCACCATTTTATTCTAGACACATGAAGGAATTTCCATGTGTTCTTGCCATGCACATTACACTCCCAGTCTGGTTTGGATGCTCTTAAGCATGGAATTGGATTTCCTTGTATGTCAGACATGACACTGACTCAAAATATATATGTTTCTGTGGGTATATATATATACACACACACGCAGAAAACTCCTGATAACTCATCACTCCAAGGGAAAAGTGCTCAGTGACTAGTTATCAGAAGTGGTGCATTAGGCTCGTGTGTCAATGCGTAAATGAATGCTTCCGGAATATTGATAGCATGATGACTTAAGTGGAAGTGACAAGTTAAGCCGGGGGCGAGTTAACAGGAGTTTACTGTACACATTGTGCACAATTTGGGAAATTCAGTCTTAACTTTCTGTCGTTCTTAAACAAATTCACAGAAAACCATCCTTAAAATGAGAGCTGTACTTAAGAATTTGACAAATTCTGGATTTTCTGAATCGCTATGTTTTAATATGGTAAATCTAGATCCAGATGGAGTCTTTCCCCCCCCCCACTCTATCCTCTCCAATTCCCTTTTGAAACCTACTATCGAATCTGCTTCCCCCATCCTTTCAGGCAGTACCTTCCAGGGATTTTTAATCTCAGTTTCTCAAAGAACAATAATGATGACAATGACAGACCGGAAGAGGAGTCAAACCCTGTTCAATTTGTCTGAGGAACCGCGGTGGCATTTCATATTGAATTGGGGGCAGATTGTAACACATACTCACCGCCAGCTCAGTGACTAAGATATCGGTTATACTTCCCAGAACAGTCACAAAGTCGAAGACATTCCATGCATCCCGGAAGTAATTCTGAAAGGAAAACGAGAGAGAGGAGGAAAACCCATCAAAGGATCGCCGTAAAAGCAAATTCTATTAACCTCAATCTCCACTCGTTCCTGTAGCATCAAATGCCCATCTGACTGAGGATGGAGGAGAAGAGAACAAAGGCGGGTTGACTGACCAGTGCTGACCGGTGGACAGGCAGAGTCTAATGGCAAATGTACCATTAATCAGAAAATCGTCAGACTGCAATGCCACAGGATAGCGGAACACATTTAAGGGCGATAAAATGCAACGTTTCATAAGAGGAGAGATTTCCGCCCAGGTTCTAGATGGGCTCTATTGGCTTAATATTTCGGAGCGCCCAGAATTGTTGACGAATCGTTGAACTCAAACTCTTAATTTCACAGTCGTTTTTTTTCTCCCCTTTCAAGAAACTCACAGAGGAAAGTCTTCAGAGCTAAAGTAAGGCTGTGTTTGAGAACTGATCAAATTCCAGACACTCGGGAACACTGAGTAAATAGAGTAACTCTGCACCCGGTTAGGATTTCTCCCCATCGCTGCGACAATTAACCGATTGAATCCGTTGCAAAACTTTGCCTATTTGACCCCCTTTTATTGTGTGCACTCCAACACAGACGAATAGACCAACAGACATGCAAGTCCGGAATGAAATTAAAAATAATTTTTGTTATTCCGTCATTTTGGATCATTTTCATCTAAAAAAAAAGCTGATTTAGTAATATTAATAAAAGCAATAATAACAGTAATCAATAATATTCACAATAAAACTGGCATAAATCTGATCTGTATTAATCGTATAATAGTCGTACATCTGCCCAAGTCCCGTTAGTTCAAGAGTTTATATTCTATGTAAATTCGACATAACTCACACACACACTTTGCACGAGTCATATTAAATGGATGGTCCCAAGATGATGAGGTTTACGGTACCAAATAATATTCAGTAGGTATTTCCGTGAGAAACGAGAAAACTTAATGTGCACATACCAGAACTCCAAAGGCAATTAGTTTCAGCACACACTCCATGGAGAACAGAAACGTGAAGAGAATGTTGAGGTAATGCAACATCCTGTCATACGGGTCGGGAGCGTTATAAAACTACACAAAAGACAAAAAGAATCAACGTTAAAATGCAGGAACATTATTACCGCCTGATTAAAAACACAGAGGTCGGAAATGTTTCCAAAACCCGCCCACTAAACTGAAAGATGTACACTTTTTTAAAAAAAAAATTGCACCCAGCAAAGTCCACTCCACACCCCCCACCCACCCCCCACCCCACCACGCAGACACACACACACACAGCTGCACAATGAAGATTAATTTGATGTGTATGTGTTCTGAGTCTTGATGGAGGCAAGGGTGGGGGCAAGGGAAGGGGCTGTGTGATGGATTTCCAAAGGGTGGGGACAGTAAGGCTGAAGGCTTGGCCGCCGATGTTGGGACGGGACGGGCGGGGGCTGTGGAGCGGGAGGGTGATGGGGGTTAGGAAGGAGCAAGGCCGTGGGGGGGGCTTTGAAGGCCAGGACGAGGATTTTTGAACTCTCTCCTCTGGGAAATGGCAACGTGGGGAGCCTACCTTCATCATCAGCACCACGGTGTTGATTGCGATCATAGCCATGATAAAGTACTCGAAGGGAGAAGAGACCACAAATCGCCACATCTTGTACTGAAAGGTTTGCTTGTTTTGAGGCATGTAACGAGTGAGTGGTTTGGCACTTATAGCGAAATCAATACAGGCCCTCTGAAACAGAGAGGTTCGTACGCGGGAGTTAATAAACACTCTTTTGTTCGACGCGGAACTCGTTCTCTTTGATTATACAACATTGCATTATTATTATTATGATTATCACTATTCTACGTTTCCCAGGGGAGGCAAGTCAGAAAACAAAATTGCATCCGAAACACAAAACTTGAAACGAACCCACCCTGGACGATAATTTTCAAAAGGATCATTTTCAAAGCAAGCAGCGTCTCAAATTAAACTTTCGCATCAGGGAGGGACGCGCCAAAACACATTACAGGATTTGCTGAAAGTGCAGCGACTGCGTGTTTTGTGGGACGAGCGCGGAAGCCCATTTGCTCACGGCGACGTGCCGCAGACAGGCGACAAAGCAAGCGAACGATTTGACCTGAGCCAGCGAGTGGTGAAGTAAAACAGTTTACCTCGTTTTTCTCCAGGCTGCACTCGGACATGACTTTGTCGCCCTGCTCCTGGAAGGTGATAATGATCAACGCAACAAAGATGTTCACAAAGAAAAAGGGGAAGACCACAAAGTACACCACGTAAAATATAGACATCTCCATGCGGTAGCCAGGGCTGGGTCCGAGGTTCTCCTCTGTGGCGTCCACAGAGTGCTTCAGGACGCTGCAAGGAAGAGAGGCGAGATCAAAAGAGGATCATCCATGGATAAACTTGAACCCCGCTTCCCCCCACCAGGAGGAAGGTACTATCGTCACTCCAGAGCTATTCACAACCCTCTCTCGCTCGAATCAGCACGGGGAATGATTACGTGCACAGTTGTTGCGTTTTGCCCACAAAAAATACTGTCATTACACTTTACAGTATATTCCGTGAAGGGCTTTGAGATGTTTAGAAGACGCGATAAGAAGCTGTAACAAAATGCGAGGATTATTATTATTGTTGTAATAATAACGATAATAATCCAATTCTCGCATTCGATATTCGATGTTGAAAGAAGTGAGGTGACTGTGTGTAATCTGTGGGCAAACCAGGAGGCCAGTTTGCACACAGCAATGTCCCGTTAATCAATTAATTAATAAATAAATAATTGTTTTTTTTGCAGCATCTTATAAATATCTTATATCTTACAATCAGCATCAGAGAATTATCTCTTCCCCCGCCCCCCACCGCCACCAGAGCCCCCCCTGCCCCCCAACCCCACTCCCAGTATTCCCATCTCCTCCTCCCACCACTATCACCAAACAAGCACAACAATGTCGCACTGCACCAGCTCAATGTTAGCATTATAGGGCTCGAGGGGACTATTTCCAGAGCTTTCATCAATACCCACAGTACACGGGCTGCTTCATGTGCCTCTAGACCTCCATTCATGGCCCCTATGGGACACTGAATAGCTGTGATTCAAGGCTGTTTTCTCTCCATTTAATATGCTCCAGTAAAACAATGCTGTGGGGGGTGGTGGTGCCGCCAGGAGATGGGGTTGCTATATTGCTACACAGCATGCAAAAAGACCTCTGTTAAAATATTTCACAGAACTGTTGGCCCTATTATTATTATTATCTTTTGTTTTCTCTGCTCCGCCGTTGATTAAGTGTCTGATCCTTTGGCCGTTCCCGTCCACGGGGGTTGGCGTTAATGAAAACTCGCTGTGTGCGGGCTTTACGGGTTGAATTGAGCTCCCCCTGAACCATTGACTGGGACATCTCTGGGAGTGAAGTTTCTCACAATGTGTTAATCATCACAGTCCGCGTTTACGTAGAGCCACCTAATGTACGGAGCGTCAAGTACATCAGTGCGGTGCTGAGCTCAGCGTTATTGGGTACATTGACGTGGATGGTGTGGTGGGGGGTAATTTTCTGGTGAGCTAGATGGAAGGTCGATCTACCTGACCCTGCCTGAAATTGTTACCGTCTTTTATATTTCTACTGCTCATTGGCTGCCGCCTCTTGCATTATATTTCTTAATTTATATTCGACATATTTCAGTACCCCACAGAAACAATGCCATGGACAGGCACTTAAAGTGTTGGCATCCAGCCCTGCTCGGAGAAGATTAACAATAAGGTGCTGTGATCTGCTTTGGAACAGCGGAAAAGTATTTTGGCATTTAGATACCATCGGCACTCCACGCAGCGAGCACAATGGGCCGTTTATCAATGATTTCACAAAAAAAAGACAGCTGGAAATGACAGAGTTCCCACTTTCCTATTGCATTAAAGCAGATCGTGACCTGAGCTTTGAATTACTACCAAAAAGCGTAGATCGGGCCACCCTAATCCAATCCTTTCACCAAATGAAGAACTGATAATGTACCTGACTGTATCAATGAATATTTTTCCCAATCAGTCGAAGGATGCTCAGCTCAAAGGGGCATTCGGAGCGACTTTTGTTGCGCACATTCATTTCTGAAGGAATTGGACTTTTGCAACTCCGAGCTTGAGTAATTCCCATGAGCCCAAGGCATTGTACTCACGTTGGCCACCCCTCTCCAGTGGATACCGTAAAGAGAGTCAGTAAGGCCCACAACACATTGTCGTAGTGAAAATCATACTTCTTCCACTCTCTGGGCTGAGCTTCAACTTCTTTCTCATACACCAGAAACTGACCCCTGTAACACCACCAGCAGTAGTTAAGGTTTGAAAAGAAATATACAACAACATCAACAGCAAATTACATTTTTATACTCCTTTCATGTTGGGAGGATGTCCCAAGATGCTGGACAGTCAGGGATATTTGGACCCGAGCTGAGGGTTGGGATTGGGGGGCAGGGGGTGGGGGCAGTGTGGGGTTGTGGAGGGCACCCCATACGTAGAAATGGAGTGGGGGAGGGGGCTTTTGAATTTTGTGGTTTGAAGAACTTCTATTGATACAGCACTCTTCCCTTAAGGTAATGCCCTTGGAGTATTTTACAAAGAAGGGGTTGGGCACCTGGTGAGGGAAAGGGGAGACGAGGAGGAGGGGAAGAGGGGGGAGGGACCATGAGCATGGTCAAAGGGATAGGGTTTAAAGTGGGATCAAAACAGATAGAGAGGGTGCGAGACGGAGTGGTACAGGGAGTGAGTGTCAGAGCTCAGCGGCATAGGAGCTCAGCAGTGACCGATTATAGTGACTGCTGACGTATTTATCAGTTCTCTGCCCCTTCTTCGGCTGGGTTTACCTGCAGTCCTTCTCAAACTCCTTCGACTCATCGGTGCAGTAGAAGAATTTGCCCTTGAAGAGCTGGACAGCAATGACAGCGAAGATGAACATGAAGAGCATGTAAACAATGAGGATGTTCAGAACGTTCTTCAGAGAGTTCACCACGCAGTCAAAGACAGCCTGAAGCAAACATGCTAAGAGTTAGGACACAAGTGAGGAGGACAACTTGTACTTGCAGAGCAGTCTGTCATGTTGACTCACCAACAGTCATCACTTCCAACCCCATACTCATCAAGGTATTGGCAAATAAATTTGAATCAAACAAGATAGCTGTTGAACAGTGCAATCAAGACGTTTCTCTCTCCAAGCCTTACTCCCCGAATCCCAATCCCAACCCCAACCCTGGTAAAGATGATAAAAAAAATCACATACTCAAATTGAATCTTAGTATATAAAAAAAAGAAAATCCTTAATAATAACCTTTGGCATTCGGTACAGTGTCTCGTCACATTGTTGAGATGTCTTGAAGTGCTTCTCAGGATTTTACTGTGAAGTGGAGTGGCTGTGTGTTTGTAGGCGAATGCAACAGCCAAATTAGGCTCCAATGTTTTAAATCAAACTCCTGTTTATTCAATTGGACTCCAAAATCTCAAACTCTGACTCAGGTAAGCAAAATACATATTTTTTTTGTTTCTTGTTGCTTTATGCATTTGAAATCTATCAGACCAAACGATTAATAAAGTCCATAACGTAAAAATATTGTACCTTTAACTTGGGCAACCGCTTGATGGTTTTGAGTGGGCGCAAGACCCGAAGGACTCGGAGAGATTTAATGGTGTTGAGGTCCTTTCCCTTGTCGGCCCTGCAAGAGGAAAGTAAAGAGTTTGATAGTTTATACAACTGAGGAAGAAGTTTTTACTCAGCTCACCTTTTGCTGCTCGTGAAAGGCTTGAAATATCTACCAATCTCAGCCTGTAAGATTGTTTAGTCTTAAAAAATGGAGACAGTGGGAAATTTCTGCAAATCAGTACCAATGAAGCCCTTTTTCGCCCCAGTTCTTAAGAAAGAAAAACCCGGCTCCCAAATTAAGACTGAAATTGAAGAGCTTTTCACAATTCTGCACGATCTTAAAACATTTCCAGGCAAAATGATGGTACAGGCTGAGACTAGGTGGTACTTCGTGGCCCAGAGGAGATAAAGCATTTTTATAGACAAGCGCATGGCGTGGAAACAATGCTTGTGAAACTAGGAGGTACAACTGAGAAGATTAATACACAGACGAAAAGGACTTAAGACACTCGTATCTTAATTCTCAATAAGAAAGCATGCCATTGAAATGTCAGAATATATCTAGCCAGACAGTGTGTAATGGGGGACAAAATGTAGACTGTGTGATGTGTGTCAGACTTCAATAGACTCACCATCACCTTAAAAGCCTTTCTTTAACTCGGTTTTCACGTGACTTATTATGATTTGCACCCACTGCGTTACAGTTGGGAGTATTTTAGGCAAACGTACCTGTCGACAGAGGGCAATTTGGGTGGGAGATGGAAGGAGGAGGGTGGGCAGCTCCCAAACACAACACCTCTGACGGGGAAGCACTTGTGGTGTGAGTTAGTTTTCCTAAAGATTTTCAAGGGAAAAGGCAGAGGCCTTTATGTTAGGGATGGACAGAGAGGTCTGGCAAAGGAACACGGGGTGAATTTCTGCCTGGTTTGCAAGAGTACAAGTGGAGCTCATCCAATAGTGATCTGTTTGCCCAAAGCTTACGTACGGTATGTGTGTGTTGTGGACGGACGGATGCATGCATATTATTTGGAACCAAAAGTTTCCTGGATAATATTTCCTTAAGTGAGCTGTACGCTCAGCACGAAAGGATCAGCAATTACAATGATTATTCGGTACATGCGGAAATTGCTGCAGTTGGACCAGATAAATCTCGGCAGTAACGATCAATAATTATGAACAGTAATCGAATTAGGCCTTGATCCTTCAGGCTCTGTTTTCAGTCACTGTCCTAATAGAGTCGACAGCATCAAGTGCAGGGAATGAACTCATGGAGCTGGCTGACTGCTTAAAAAACTAGAACCCCAAAATCTGAAACGAGCCTAAATTCTAAATAATTCCAAATTATTTTGAATGCATGTGAAAATTGATATGTGAGAACCAAAATTCTTTCTCCCTGAAAAATATTCCGGTATTTTTTTTTTCTCCCCTGCACAAAAAAGGGGTGATTTTAAATGTTTTTGTCGATGAATTAAAAACCACAACGCAGAACTGCCTCGCCACGCGGCATAGAGTCCCAGGCGAAACATTTCCGGTCAATCACTCTGGGTGAAAATGGTGAGCGCGCACAGGAACAATGCAGATATAATCGTGTTAAGCGAAGGAGAGAGGATTTACCCGAGTAAATTCCTGTTTTTCATTTCCATTTTTTTTCAAAATGTTTTTCATTTCATTTCATTTCATTTTCCAGCATTTCAGGGGGAGAAAAAATGGGGAGAAAGCAGATCAGTTCTAAAACATTCTTGTTTCAATTGCCATCAGCGTCGCTGTGACGGTTACCGCTCAACACAATTCACAGTGTCCTATGTCTGCACTCAACAACAACAACAACAACTTGCATTTATACATATTGGAGTTCACGCAGGAAAGCGTCTCGGAGCGCTGTCAGTTTCGGGCGACTTGGGAGGTGTGATGGTTAAGAAAAACGGGCTCAAAATTGAGGAATTCTAGTTCGACCCGTTTCAAATCCTGTGCTTGTAAACGGTGACGCCTGAAAGGGCGCTGGGAGCAGATTCGCTGGTAGCTTTCAGAAGGGAATGGGATAGATTCCAATGTGCAGGGCTATGGGGTAAGAGTGGGGGAACAGGACTGGTTGGATAACTCTTTCAAAGAGCCGGCACAGGCACAGGCACGATGGCTGAATGGCCTCCTTCGGTGCTGTAAGATTCTATGATTGAGGAGCCTAATTTAGGATGGAAAGTGGAGGTGGAACCAGGCTTCTGACTGCCCACCACTCCCTGGTCACACCCCGGGCACAAATAAACGAGCAGCGATAAGCACGGCACTTCGCGAGAATACTCTGATAACCATCACATCCGCGGGTCACCCACTCCACAAGAGTATTGATGCATAATAAATAATTCACCCTCGGCTGCGTGTGCGCAGGTCTGACACCTCTAGGTTCAGTAAACAGCTGCTGGCATACCTTACTGTGCCTGAATAAAGTGTTGTTTATTCCAAAGGCCTGACTCTTGTGCTCGTGGCACCTAATTTTACATTCATGTGACAGCCTTGCGGAAGAAGCTAGGATGCAACATATGCCAGCGAGGTTAATTTTTTATGCCCGTGAACAATCAACGTTTGGCAGAACAAAGAGAGGCAAGGAAACAGAATCCAAAGTGACCAAATTTGGCTACAAAATAAGACAATACTCTTCAATTACGCACACAGCTCTATGGGTGGGATGTCTATTTAGGGTTGTACTAATGCCCAGTGGCTGTTGACGCACTGTCAGATAGTAAATATTTTACAGAGGATCAAGGCTGGTTGATGGCCGTGGTCAAGTCTTGTGGTGGAGACTTGACTTCCCTGCCTTAGTTATTTGAGTTATACCCAGAAAATGGCATCGCCACTATATATTGTATGTTTTTTTTAAAATCATTCATTTCCCTGCAAGGTGCAGAGCGGAGGCCAGCGGAGGAACTGCACAGACTCGACAATACATATTGGCGACCGAACCCATCATCAAAAAAAAGATGGAACCAGAAAGGCCTTCCTCTCCTTATAAATAATCTTACTTTAAAAATAAAAGAATATTGCATAGAGTTACATAGATTGATAACAGCACGGAAACAGGTCATTGGGCAAAACCAGTGTTTATACAAAAACAACAACTAAAAGACAATAAGATTTTTTAAAAATCGAAGGATGCAAAACTTTGTAAACTACGAGCAATGTTTCCAATTGACTTATTGCTCCCAGGGTTCCAGTCACGCAATTTCAAATCAACAACCAAAGCATTCATTTTCATTGTATATAGCATCCATCATGTAGGGCAGTATCCCGGAGCGAAATCATCAGCTCTCGGCGAGGAAATGCACCAACATTGAACTCACGTGAAAGCGAAGGCGACCAGGGCTCCAGTGACCACAATGAAATCCAGGATGTTCCAAAGATCTCGGAAGTAGGAGCCGGGATGAAGGATTAGCCCTAAATCAATCATCTTAAAGAAAGGAAAGTGACGGAGAGGTGAACTCAACAGAGAAAATTAGTTGCCAACTGCCAAAGCCCCAATTTCTCAGTCCAGCTAACTCAAGCTCACACACACATTTCCCATCGTCTCTCTCCTGGAGAAACCCAAGCCTAGGGCAGAGTCCCATAGACCTATAGGATAACCAACGCTCAGAACAAAAAGAACAGCAGGTGAAGATGAGATCAATCGAGGAACCGTGTTGTACCGGGTCATAATATGGCAACAATGGATTTGAAGGGCTGAGATTCTGAAGCCTCCAGAACGTACGGGCATCGCTTACCTTTATCACCATCTCAAACGTAAAGACTCCCGTGAAAACGTAATCCAGATACTTCAGGACCTGAAGAAACAAGACAAGACTTTGATCAGAATTTACAATGTAATTGCAGTCACTTCTTTGAACGAGCTATCCAACTAGACCCACTCCCCCGCTCTTTACCCCACAGCCCTGCAAATGTTTCCTTTCCAAGTCCCTATCCAATTCCCTTTTGAAAGCCACTGTCGAATCTACTTCCACCAGCCTTTCAGGCAGCGTCTTCCAGATAGTAACAACTCAGGTTTAGTGAATTGCACTCAATACTTTGTGTAGCAATGCAAAAGGATGTTTCCAGATAAGCAGGGAGCAAAGACCATATCTGTGGTCCTTATCAGGAGCTCAGTCTCTCTCTCTCGCTCTCTCTCTCTCTGCTCAGGGCATGCTTTGCGAAGCATTAATAGTTAACGCAGCCTCTTGGAATGTAGAATGTGATACTTGGCATGGCAGCTCTTTGCGATGGCTGCTGTGATAACTCACATCGTTCCTCGGTGACACCGCCAGCACAGGGTCTTCAGCGGCCAGTGCGATGCTGCTCATCGCTATCACCAACAGGATGCACATCTCGAAGTATCTCAGGTTGACTATGTAGTGGCAAGCTCTGCGGACACTGAACACAACAACAACTTGCGTTTATATAGCTCCCCTCACCAGGATAGCACTTGCCAGTGATGGGGCACGAGCCCGAGCCAGGGGGAGAGGGTTTGGTGACCGTAGGCACGGTCAAAGAGGAAGGTCTGAACCTGAAAATTGGGAAGGAGGAGTTGAGAAGGGGCTCTTCACAACAGGAGAGACGCCACCGTTACCACACCAAGCACTCACTCACTGGGGGTCGGCACTATACAGAAAGGTGACTTGACAGTTCCTTAATCATTTCCTGGAGCGATGGCTTACAAGTCACACAGCCACACTACTTTTTACAGCACATGAAGTGAAGAGCTTTGAGATGTCCTGGCCTCAACCACTTTTCCTGGCAACCTGTTCCACCTGTTAATTCCCATCAGGTCAAGAAACTCTTCCCGGTGTCTATCCTGAAGTTGCCTTGTTGCAACTCTAAAACTACGTCTTCTTGTACTGCTGTCTCAGTGCATACGCAAGTTTTGTTCTGCAGTTACTTTTCCAATCCCATTTAACCCACCAAGGGGGGGTTGGAGTTTCACGGATTTTGTGGGCATGAAAAGGCAGTATATCAAATGCAGGCATTGTTATTATTATTATTATTATTATTATTATTATCCCTCCTGGGTGAGGTATCAGATATGTGCTGTTTTCTTGCACAAGTTTACTTGGTCGGGTTTTCAATTGTAGAAATATTGGATCTGCTGTGACTTTTCACCTTTATGTACGATGCCCTCCAGCAGTCTGAACAATTGAGTCACGATAATTTTATCTGTTATCAACCTAGCAGATGGCTTGCAGCAAGACATTTCTCCTCTGTTGATTAGATTTTGTTTGCAAACAGACTATTTATCACTGTAATTGAATTCTTTAATTATTGGCATTTCTGAATCCACTTTCTGAATTCAGATGGATTTGGCAACCTCCAATTAATTCCATTTTTTTTTTTTTTTTTTGGTCAGCCGAGTGTCTGACACACCCGGAAACCCATCACCATTGCTTAACAGCATCCAAACCAATGCATCCCACCTACACGTGGAAATCCCGGAGATAGATTGTTGGATCGGAATGCGCACTCTCTCTCTCTCTCCCTGGAGGGACATATCCTGCTCACCTGACTCCAGAGAGTATTAGGTGCAGGCGCCTGCAGGTTGGTAAGAGAAAGGGCTTGGGGACCCCACAATGTTGTGTCGTAGTACTGTCGGGAGTTTAAGCAGCTACCGCGGATTGCTATTGCCAAGAACTGTCTGCCAGTCTTCTCGCTGCATGTACAGGGTTAACAGGAGACGAGTGGGAAGAACCTGGCAAATGTCGAGCCTTACAGCAGCCATTGACTCTGACTTTGGTTTCGTCTCCTATATTCATACTATAACGAAACGTCACAGCAATTCAACATATATCACAGATATAGTCATCTCTAAGCCCAGACATGGGTTACCTTAGCAATCAGAGGTCTTTTATCACGATAGCAACTAACGCTTCACATCAAACTCTGATATTCGGCGTAAAATACAGCCGCGAGCTTTCAATTCACAGAGGAAATAAGCCGATATTTTTCGTTGAGAAACCGTGGACATAGTTTTGAAATACGTTATTTTGCTCACACACAGCCCCCGCCCAACACACAAAAATCCCTACATTAAAAAGCCCAAGAGTATCAATGATTTCCGTTTCGGCAAACACAGACAGCAAGCCGGCTGTAACCATGGTAACGGCCTGGTCCCAGAGCGGGTGGAGAAGCAGAGCCTGTCAGGAGCTTTGCAGCACGCTGGAGCTGAAACCCAAAGAGAAAAGGTGGAACCGGGCAGCGAGGTCGATCAGTGTCTGAAATGGAAAGATGGCTTAACCTTTCCACTGCGGCTCGTCATCTGGACTGACATGATTAGGCTGGAAAAGGCCACTGCTTGTAGCACAGAAGGAGGGCAGGCAGGCAAGACTAGATGAAGAGGTGATCTAGGGAGACTATAGACTATAGAGCCATCCCTTGTGCCTTTAATGTCAGTGTCTGATGTCCAAGGATCTCTCTAATAACCCGTGCATTTGATGCAACAGAAATCATCAGTCGGTAGCCGGGTTGGGGGTTGAAGGGAGGCTGAGGAAGCTGGGTGGAAATGTGACCACAAAGAGGTCTTAAGGGCGGGCTTTAAAAGTGGTGAGGGGATATGGCCAGACAGAGGATGGGGTTCCAGAGAGCGGGGGCAGAATGACTGAAAGCCAATCAAAGAAAAAACAAAGAAGCTGGACATCACCTGCACGAGGGATGGGAGTGTAGAGGGAGCTGACACCCGTCAGGAAGAGGAGACAATGAGGCCGGAAGCCTGGCGATTGTCAGAGGGAGTCCTGGATGTGGGCGGTTAAGGTTTTTGTTATGGTAAAGTGCGATCGTTGCAATTCGGGGACGTGAAGAGAGATGGTCTGTGACAAGGTGTCAAAACGTTATCGTTTAGACTGGATTGGGGCTCGCGGTTGTGTTGCTGTCCTTTGATCTCGCGCTCAGCTGCCTGGTTCATTGTCAGGTATTCCTGCCTTACCAGATCCCTATCTGGGGCACTTACAATTGGCGCAATCAAGTCAGGTTCGATCCAAACTTCTGATTCCAAATGCGTCTCTCTCTCCTATTTTCCACGGGTTAAGTAAGCCTTGGTTAAAGGGCTTCGACTGTAAACTGCTGTTTATGCAGTTGAACGCACTGCATTCGAATTTCTGACGTGTACAATATTTGGCCGGTGTTAGGGCAAATTGGTGTTATGAGTGACCAAGACATTTGCAATCTGGCACGGTTCTGTTTTTGCAGTGAGCTCAGCGGCAGAGAACTCGTGGGTCTCCTGGATGGTGTGAGTCAGCGCCTTTCTCATCAAACTCCGATTTGAAATATTTTCCCTTTGGGTGTTCATCAAAAATATTCAGCCAATGTATCACTGTTACCGGCTAATAAATATATAAAGGGTCTGGAGGAAAAGGGCATGAGAATGAGACTAAACAGATAAGTCTTTCAGAGAGCGCTGTAAACCTCTAGGGTTCTGTCATTTCGCAAGGCACGAAGTAACAGAGAATAGTAATAATAATTCTTACATCAGACACAGCGCCTTTCACATCGGGTGGACGTCTCAAAATGCTTCCCTGGGATTTACTGCAAAGTGCGGTGACTGTGTACCTTGTAGGCAAAACACGGCAGCCAACTTGCGCACAGAGACAGCCCCCTCAAAAGGTTGTTAAGTGAATGAGCAATTGTAAAAAAATAAACTGTGGTAGTTTGGGAATTCAGAAGGAGTTAAGAGTCACATAAAGCGAGCGTTTTTAAAATGGATGATGTTGCCAGATTGAGGTGGCATCTGACAAGTCTGGTTGCCAATACTTACGGGTTTGTAGGGCTGAAGACGAACATGGAGCTGTAAGGCAGGATCTGTCTCGGTCCTTTGTTGGTCAAGTCTTCCTCCTCCATCTCTTTCTTTTCCTCCTTTTTTGTCTGACTTTCCAGATCTACATTGTTGACTGACAATGACCAGAGTTATCATGGTGACAAGACTCATCGCCCTCTCTCTTTTATATATAGTCTGTCACTTTTTTTCCAATACAACACCCGGAAATTTGTACCCTGATGACTGCCAATTAGGACAAGGAGTGATTTGGTCCAATTTCAACTTAATATTTCAATGCCAATGAAACTAAGCAATTAGAAACATTTTGCTTTTGAAGAATTCTGTACAAAACAACAACAAAACATTACATTTGTATGGATCCCTTCATGTGGGGGTGTGTGGAAATTTGGACAATCGGGGATTTGACCCAAGCTGGAGGTTTGGATCAGGAGGGGTGGAGGGCAGGAAGGTCAGGTATAGAAGGGTGACCGAAAGTCCGATTGCAGAACATCCCTGATTTGGTCTCAGTTACACAGATGTCATATGGACATTGTCACAGGTGTGATACTGGTTAGTACCAAAGCTGATTTCTAATGGTGTTCGAATGCAGGTTGTAATGGTTATTAATGCAAAGCAACCTGACCAAATCGCGTTGAAAACATAAGCCACAAGTCTTCCAAGAGAGTGCTGGCATCTTCTTGTTCCTTCACTTACACCCTCTGTCAACTACAGGTGGGTGCAATGTCTATCACCACAGTGCTACATTTAATATATCGACCGAGCTTGTGTAATAGCTTGAGATCCAGTTTGAAGTCAACGCTAATGTTTCCCCTTTTTATTTTTTGTTCATCACTTACCGGGAAGCACTGTGGTCTCTCCAGGGGGAGCGGTGATGGTGACTGGGATATTGACGGTGATGGTGTGATCTATCTCTTTTGTAGGGACTCGTTTGATATTCTTCTGGTTATCAGCGTCCTCTGGCTGTTGGGGAACGTGCTTCACAGTACCAGTAGGTGGCAACGCAGTGGTACCCAACATGACTGGATCAACAGGGGCCTGGCTTTCTCTGTGGAAATTTGATCAGTCACAAAGTAAAGCGCAAGAGAGGAGACAGAGAGAGAGAGAGAGAGATTTTGTATACTCAATCAGTGGTTTTAGAAATTCATTAGTCAAAAAAACAGGTCAAAAGACAAGCCACAAATTACAGTGGGCTTTTTGTCTGATCAACATTGACCGATGCATTAATGAGCCTTGACAAGACAATGTCGGCTTTATTTTCCTGGGCGAGATTGGGAAAGGTGTTTTTTTATATACGGGTCCAGACAAAAATTGCAATGACGGGGTCTCAACGCTAAATTGGGTCATTACACGCAACAATCCAATTGTCAGGATCGATCCCCATTTCTTTAAATGTTACTTAAATTCATTACACGGACAGCCTCCCTTTCTCGTTATTAAGAAGGATCGCCACCAACAAACAGCGGTTAAGCCTTCTTTACTCTTAGTTAAAACAATCACCGCGTGAAATACAAGCAGCCGATGGTATAACACAGACATATAGATCATCTCACTGTCTGCTCTGTCACCAGAGAGGTTTGGGTTTCAACCTTAAGAATGAACAAACAAAAATGACTGCAATTATTGTTTGAGATACGTCTGGGAGTCATGGGGTGGGGGGGAGCGGGGGGGGGAGTGCGGTGGGTGGGGGGTGTGATGATCCCAATACATTATCATACATTTTTCCTCCACATTAGAAAAGTCTGATTTCAATCAGACTCAATTGTCACCATCCATCAAGCCCAATACTGTGATTGGAAAAGTCATTCTAGTCCTGAACTTCTACAGTCGTCAACTTACACTATAGGCTTTTAGAACACTTTGCCACTGATACAGCACCTTTCACATGGCGAGAACATCTCAAAGCACTTTACCAAGACAGAGCAGGAAGAAACTAGGGCGTTTGAAGGGGAGAGGAGGTGGCTGAAAGCACAGTCGAAGAATTAGGTCTTCTGATGGGATTTGGAAGCAGAGAGGGAAGGGGAGTGGGAGGGCGGGGCAGGAATGGGGAATGATTTCAGCTGAGTTTGGGGTGGGTGGTGGGGGGCAAAGTGGCTGAAGGCTCATCCGTCATTTAACCTCCAGCAAATCGAGATTCAAAAGATAAGAAAGCAGTTTGGCAATGGTAGTGAAGTCAGAAGTTTGCCAGTATCACACCACTGTTTGGGGAATTGGGGAAAATATCTGGAACGGGCAAATATTAAAGGATATGGAGAGAAACATGCGCAACTAAACAGATGGTCCTTTCAGAGAGCCAGCACAGGAACGATGGGCCAACTGGCCTCCTTCCATGCAGCAATATCCTATGATTCGATGATGATAGTAGATTTAAGCTTTGTTTCTTTGCTGACTCTTTATCCACCCGGAGACCCGGAAATGGGCCAGTTCGGTATGAAAAGGCGGCTGGTGCACAGGAATGACAATAATAATAAACCTTGCGATCGATATCGCGCCTTAAAGCATCATTGAGACGTCTCAAAGCACTTCACGGGATATATTATCAAGTGGATTGACTGTGTATTTTCTCGGCGAAACGCAGCAGCCGGTGGCACACTGCAGCGTCCCCACAAACAGTCGTGAACAGGAAGCAGTGAGAGGGGTGGGGTCCACATTGCCACAGGAGCTCATTATTCCCGGGGCCGCACAGGATCATCAAGACACAAAATAGCTACCAGCCGTCTCTCCGGAATGGAACATGGCTTCCAGCTGTCCTTAAAAATTGATGCCGTTGTTCAATTAGCAAATCAATGCTCTGCAGAGCTGTAGCTCGTTTACCTTTCATAAGAGTGAGTGTGCATCTGTGCAGAAAATTGAATCAACATTATATAGTTTTTTGTGGGGGGGGGGTGAGGGGAGGGGTAGGGGGAGAGAGAGGTAGGACTCACAGTTCAAGAGCGGATCAACCCAATTAACACTCTCTCCTCGCGCTCCAGTTACTGTCTAAGCCAGACAGAAGCCGACAATACATTTTTTTTACACTGGAACCACTTTACTCTCTCAATATCTCATCCCGTCTCCTGCAGTCGCACACAACGCGAATGTTGCACCCACCAGAGAGGGCGAGGTAATGCCTAGAATTCAGCAGATACTCAAGACAAAAAAAAGTGCTCCTTTGTCCTCACGTCTGAGGTGGGTACACCAGCCAACGAAGGGGAATCAATACTGTACATCAACCTGATGTTGCCTTCAAGTAACATCAATCATAAGGCGTAACAGCCTGGCTCAGGTGGTAGCACTCTCTCCTCTGAACCAGAAGACGTTGGGTTCAATCAAGCCCCAAATTGGCAACTTTTATCTCATCATCAAAACACTTTCACAGAGGCCATCAACATAGCTTTACTGGTACACGACAACAACCTACGCTCACTTACTTTGGCTTGTGGTTCTTGCGTTCCCTCGGAACAGGCTCCCCCTCCTTCTCCCCGTTCTCCCTCTTCCCCTCCGCCTCGCAGGTGGACAGCGCCTTTTGCCGGTGCCTGCGTCGCTTCTCCGCCCCTTCCGAGCTCTCTGTCCTGCCAGCCGCCTCCCCGTCTCGATTCCCCGAGCGGGTCCCGTCTCCTCCGCGCCCTCGCCGCTCGCCCTTGGCCCCGTTGGCCGTGCCGTTGCCCTCCTTGGGCTGCTGCTCGTTGGCGTGAGGCCGGTGAGACCGATGGCGCCTGCATTCCTTCTCCCCGGCCTCCTCCGCCGGACCCGGCTGCTGCTGCTGCGGGTGGTGGTGATGATGTCTCTTGCCTCCCTCTCGGCTCCTGCTCCGTTCGCTCTTCCCCTCCTTGCTCCTGCCCTCCTGATCTCGCTCACTCTCTTTGCTCCTGCTCTTGTGCACCCTCCGTGGCTCGTCCTTGCCACTGAGTCCATTGTCCCCGTTGTCCACAGCCCCGTCTTCCTTCTCATGTTCCCCTGCCTTGTCGCGGTGACGGTGCTGGCGTTTGGGAACCTCGCAGCTCTCTGGCTGCACCAGTCTCTCCTGCTCATAGTCCTGCCCCTCGCTTGGACGGAGCTTCTCCATGCTGTTCCGGAGATTGTTCCTGGGTTCCACCACCAAAGGCCGGTCCAGGTGGGTCTTCATATCGGGCCGGATCTGATGAGACGAGGCGTAGACTCTGCGCTGCTCGTCATTGAGTTCATTAAACAACGCCTCCTGACTGTTCATGAGGTTCTGCCGTCTGATCTGAGAGGTCCTTTGTTCCCAAACAGACATGGACTTGAATGACTTCTGCAGATCTTTGCTACACGAGGAACAAAGTAACAAAAGGCAATGTAAAGCTGTGTCTGCCATCGCGTCTGCAGAGAGAGGCTAACCGTAAACCCCGACCGATTTGGAAACTTGGTGCCCGCGCACACAGATAAATTAAGCAACTGTTGAAAACAACAGAGCTATCCTTTTGCCAGAAGTACAGCTCCAACCAAAATCTCTTAAGAATACACGTTTCCAGCAGAGGCCGGACAATAAAAGCCACCATCAAAAGCCGGAAACGTGCATTCACCGCAATCCTAATGCAATCACCCTCATCGGAAAAGACACAGCGCCACAAGCAAATGACTATGTTAAAAATATGCCATTTGTTGGACTCTATCGTCAAGCAGCAGCAGCTCCTCAGTACAATGAGAGTACGTGAAAGGCAAGGTCTGATTTTGTGCTGACGCGAAAGGTAAATCAAACGGAGACATTTCCTTTGAGAGAGAAAGGAAACAAAAGAAACTGAGAACAGCAAAGTTGAGATCAAGAAGAAACATCCTACGGAACCCAAATCCAGGCTTTGCTGTTCTGCCGTAGTGCTCAGCCTAATAGCCTTGACTACCAGCCACAAATCCTACAGCCAGATGTCTGGTAGAAGCACAGAATCACACTTGCTACAAACGATGGACAGGACTCACATACACACACGCAGCGAAGGTGCACACACAGACGGGCCAAAGACAGCAGCCTTCACGTGAGACCACAGATCAACTACACACACACACACACACACGCTCCACTCTACAGTGTGCACCAGTGCGTTGAGGCTAAGAAATGACAGTTTCACCACATCCAGCTCAGTGATCTTTTTTTTGGACTGCCTGCTCGTCTATCACTGTGGAGTAAGATTTGATCCAATAATTTAGCATCAATATTAAGCAAGTCTTTAATGATTTAATGTTATTACTGTGAAGTCTTGATTTACACCCAAGCATAGTTTTCACTTGCACTTGGAAGCTTAAGATTGTGCAAGACAGAGAGTATAAAGAAAACTTCCCCTCCCTTTTTGTTTTGTAAGACAGATAATAATTACTTGCTAAAGCGTAACCAACTGTGACTCAAAAGAAAATTACTTTTTATCAATAGAATAAAATTATATTTTTTATTACTTTTTGAACTTTAAGTACTTTGCACTGAGTATGATCCTGTATTGGAAATGAATAGATTCCACAATACTTTTTCTTAATTGTCTTTTTAAAAAGAAATGACGGCTTTAATTTGCTTACCAATTCAAAATGTTAAACGTTGAATGCTACACTGCAGTTCAAAAATATGTTAATCATTAAACAATCATCCCAAAAGGTGACTGGAATGAGATGGTGAGACGGTATTTCTTCAAGATTAGTAGGTTTGCACTAATAAGACATTGGGGGAAACCACAATTTCATCCAGCCTTAGCCTGTAAGACCAATTTGTCTTCAAATTTAAGCTGCAACTGGAAAATTCTTAAATTCTGTCTTAATTTGGAAGCCAATTTCCTTTTTTAAGAGCTGCCAGAAAACCCAGCTTCCAGACAAAGACAAATCAGTTGGACAAAAAGACAAAAGATTAGCGGTTGCACAGGGTAATTTGAGGACAGACACCTGGAAGTTTTTCTTTACTCAGAGGGCACTGAACAACTGGAAAGGGTTGCCAGGAAAGGCAGTAGAGGCCAGGGACACTAAGACTCATTTAAAAAGCAGTTTGATACTGCAGGGGGTGATGGTAAGGGTGGGTGTTCTGTTCTGGAAGGATGAGCTGAAGAGCCTTCGTCAACCAAACCAATCTTGGGATCAAACTTGAGAATTTTGAACAAATGTTCCGGCAGCTGAGACTAGACAGATATTCAGGGAAGGGGAAAGGAGAAATGGTGGCGGTATCTATCTCTGTTCAACTTGATGGTGTGGAACCTTCCACCACAGGTTCTAAAATTCTTTTCACTGCACTGTGGGGTAAAAATTGCCACAGATTAACGGGAGGATTTCTATTTCTTGAGTTGTAGCCATGTCACAAATATGTTAATATTTGTCATTTTGCCTAGTCAGGAGGAAAGTGAACTAACTGGAGAGTTTTAATTGTAAATTGGTATTTGTTTACTTGAGGTAACAATGCACGAGGGCTCCCATGAACGCTTACTGAATAGGAATGATAAAAATATTTTATTAAAGGAGAAAAAAATCCATTGTAACTGTCTTTGCACAAGAGGGGAACAAATTCTGGTTTGGGGTCTAGACTTAGTCTTTCCTCTTCGCACGTCAAGAGTTTTGAAAAATTCTTCAATTCAGCCTTACTTTGGAAGCTGGATCTCGAAAAGGTTCTTTTTAAGTAATTCAAGAATTGCCCACAATTTGCATCGTCTGAAATGCTAACAACAGAGTTTGAGTGTGGACCCTGAAACAACTTCTCCCCGTGAATGGAAACCTGGGCTCTGTATTTAAAACGCCCCAAATAAAATGTATTATTAAGTCCATTTGGCTTCAGAGAATTAAGACTGTTTGGATTTTTTTTAACTAAAAAAAATCATTTTGTTCTGTCCCCAATCAGCCAGTTTGATGGAATGAGATCTACTGTGAGCAAGAGTTTAGCTTAGCTGAAATATTAAGACTCGAGTCGAATCTGTTACCTGATTCACTGTAGAAAAGTCGAAGAAACACAGGGTATCAACAGGTTGAAATGCACAGAAGCGAGCCACTAATGACAGCGAATGTAGAAGAGTTGCCCAAACAGTAAGAGGAGCACAGCCACTAAATGTCTTTACAACATGCGCTCTTCACACTTGGTGTTACAATGGTGAATGACACTTTCTGAAGGGGTTACTTTATAATATTGTAACAGAGAGCAACTCACGGTGAATTTACGCTGCAGACTGACGAGCTGCGAGATAGAGCATCTCGATTTTGCTTTACAAAACTGCACATGCAAAAAAGATGAGACAAAAAAAAAATACATTGGGAAAAGATCAACAGGTTCTATCATATTCACAGGTAGATTGCATTTGTAGATGTCCAGAGCTTCAGAGACTTGGTGTAAAGCAGGGTGGGGTTTTTTCAGGTTGGAAAAAACTACATTTATATCAAGATCAACTCAGCAAAGCAACAATCAGTCTCCAACATAAGAATTTGCTGGGCGAAAGGTCCATCCAGTTCGCCTTCCACCCTCCTGGCAGTCACATGCATGTGTCATGTCCCAAACTACATATTATTTCCGAACAGAAATTTATCTAATTTGTTCTTGAAAGAATCAAGTCAAATCCTCAGCAACACTGGTTCCTTTGAAAAGCAACGTCCCAAGCAGTATAGCGAATGCAAAAGGAAAACCTTCAAAAAGCAAACACAATGTCAAGAAGATTAGCTCTGATGTCCTGCTTTTGGAAAAAAAAATTCCTGAAAAGCCCAAACTGAAAAAATTAGTAAGAAAATTAATATTTATCTACAACAAATACATTGGGATGTCAAGATGGAAGGACATCCCAATGTATTTGGAGTGTTGGGAGGGAAGGAAGGAGGGAGGGAGGGAGGGAGGAAGGAAGGAAGGAAGGAAGGAAGGAAGGAAGGAAGGAAGGAAGGAAGGAATCGATGGAAATGTGGGGCTTGTACTCACTTGACTCCAGCAAACACAAATCATAGCAATGTAAAGGTGAACGGAAAGACAAGGCGTCTCAAACAAAACCATTTTCCTTTCACCTTAAGGCAATAAGGAAACAAGTAAGAACAGAACATTTTACCCTTGTGCAGATGAATCTTATGCAAGTGAACGTCTGCGATAATACACCTTATATCTTTCTGGGCAGATTTGGAGAACGGACAGGGGGGGCGAGTTTTAAAATAAAAACACAAAATAGATTTTTTAACGAAAGCAGAATGTTAATTCGTTGTGAGTTTCTCTCTGATCCCCCACTCCCCCCTCCCCCTCATTTTTTTCCTCCATCATCTGATATCATTGACTCCCACGCAGATACCAGTTGTAAAGTTACCAAAAGCCAAGCCAGAGATGCCTGGTTTGGAGTTTGCCCGGCCTGGGAATGCCGAGGACATTACCCAACGCTCCTGGGAGCGTTGAAACTCATTTCCCTCTTTGGATTGCACGTCGCTGGTTACAAAGGACACTTGCATAAGGGCCCTGTCATCAGGGCTAAACGGCAAACCAAAGCCATCGGGATGGGGATGGACGTAGAAGGACGCTGGCTGGATGAAATAAAACATGAAACAAAAGGGTTGAGAATAGTGGCGTGAGGCAACAGAGAGAGCGAGCGTTGGCTTACGAAAACACAGAGGTGGTTTCAATAAACACAGCCTGTGAAATATTAAATGCTGGACTTACGTTGCTATGGAGAGGTTAGCTGCCGAGATGGGGCTGACGTCAGCCACTTCGATAGCCTTTTGGATGGTATTTTTTTGAATGTTTGCCTCTTCCATCTCTTCTTCGTCCTAAACAGGGAGACGGTAAGAAACTCTCCAATCTGCGTTGTCAGCAGTTTTTAGTGATATAACTGGAAACAGCTGCAGTGCAGTGTTAAGCTGTTACTATCCGGTGTGGGAGCAAATAACTGATTGTTTAAAAATAGCGAATCTTTGTGTTATGAAGCTCTCCAGGGGAACGCAAACACATCATGTTAGCTCTGCCTGGTGTAGGCGGGCCAGCTATAGACAACCTACAACAGAATTACATCGAGCTTTACAGCACGGAAACAGGCCATTCAGCCCAACTAGTCCATGCCCTGTGTTAATTCCCTCTGTTCCCTTCTCCCAAAGGTATGCAATGAGTATCACTGCGCACCTAATAGGTCTTCAGCATATCAGCTGCCAAAGGAGAATATCTTTCACTCAAAAACTGACCATCGACATTGCTCGCCTCTTACAAGTGCATCTTCATACCTGTGGCTGAGGCAATGATCAGAATACCGTACCTTTGTCAGTTCCTGAGCATTTGCCAGGTTGTCCACTGCAATTGCCAAGAAGACGTTCAGTAGGGTGTCTGTTCAGGTCGGCGCTAAGGAAATTGAGGGGTTTTAAGGTCAAAGAGATCACATTTTCTTTAAACAAAAAGGAAACATTTGCATCTCACTCACACCATGGGCTTAATCATGTTTCCCCAGTCTTCTTTCCACAGCTTCTGACTCTCCATCTCCGTCTAATCTATTGTTTCTAAGCATGAGTCATGAAACACACACATGGTTCAGGATTGCTGCTCCACCACTAGACTGACATCAAGGCACTGTTTTTCCCTGACACCCTTGCAGGTGGAGAACAATAACACACAGTTTATGTGGGTGCCTTTCTTGCAGGATGAGCATCTTGAGGTGCTTCACACTGACCAAGCATGGCAGGGAGGAAAAGGAGCACCAAACGCACCGCAATAACCAGTTGGCAACAACAACAACAACAACTTACACTGATACAAACACCTTTCCTGTTAAAAGAATAAACGTCTCAAAACTTTACGAAACACAATATATTAGAAAGGAAGTTAAAGCTGTTAAACGTGGGCAAACATGGCAGCCAAGTTTCGCCAGGAACATCTGACGAAGAACGATGGGACGGGTGGAAAAGTGATTTGACATTGAGGGTGAATTTGGGGTTGTGGGGGGGGATAGAGACTAGGATAAACAGGAGAAAGTTCTCTGAAACAGCGCCAGCCGGGCTTAAAAGAGCAATCAATACCCATGGCACTCGGTGGCCACGCTTTGAAGGATACAGTTACCAAACAGTGTCAAGATGATGAAATAAACGGATGAAAACATTCCTTTCTTCACGCCTCCTTGGGATTCTATCCCGAAATACATCACTGCATTCCAGTCTTCACCCGTCAGGACCTGTGCAATTATTAACCCAAGAATATAAAATCCAGGGGGTAGTGGCTGAATAATAACAATCCTTGCATTTGATGCAGGACCTCATGTTGGGAGAACACCTCAAAGTGCTTCACAGGATTCACTGTAAAGAGCAGTGACTGTGTGTGGGTTTTTTTTGTGAGTCTCCCTTTCTAGAGTGACTTGCCAGTGATATATAAAAATCGGCTGATCACTGTATGCACGCAGGCAAATGTAATGTAGGACTTGATTAATTACTCCTTCGCTCCAAGAACCCACAGACCACAATACTAATCCCTGTGATTTCGCTCACCTGCTGCTCCGGAGAGCTAGCGATTGTGTGTGTCTGTTCAGTGTTTGACTTTTGTGTGGGAGAGATGACTGGAAGCCAAGCAGGCAGATCTATCAAGCCTTGGCTGCTGGCCTTTTCACTTGTAATGCTCAATTAGGATTTGCAGCCTTGATCCCTTAATGTTATACATCCAGTTACTCTGCCTTGTCTGCTCCTTCTCGACTGCATGCGGCACATCAGGTCTGGGCATCATAATCGCAAGTGCCATCCCCCTCCTCCCCCTCGCACCCCACTGGGCCTTTGACATAGGAACAGGAGGAGGCCATTCAGCCTGCCGAGTCTGTTGGCCATTTTATTAGATCTATTTATCCTATTTCTTTCTCTTTACTCCATGACTTTGTCCCTTAATATTGTGTACATATCTGACTGTCTCTAGTAATAATCCTTTCCCATCAGTCTCAATGCACTTTGATTGGCTGTAACGTGTAGTAACTGTGTACTTATAGGCAAATGCAGCAGCCAATTTGCACACCGCAATTGCCCCCTAAACAGCCGTGAAGTGAATGACTCATTTTATTTGCAACACTGCAGTGGAGCATTAGCTTGGACTGTGAGTTCAAAACTCAGGTCTGGGGTTTGAACCCACAAGACCTTCTGATTCAGAGGCGAGAACGCAACCAACTGAGCCCAGGCTGACACACGATACAAGACACATATCAACCAACATCTAACATGACAATTGACACCGTGGTTCAACAATGAGGAGTAATTTGGGTTTCATTTACCTAATGAAAGTGTATTTCCTTACCTGGAATACAGTGAGGATCGCGGCTGGGAAAGTATCGAAATTTGTCGGAGGAGTCCCATCTTCAAAATTAAACCTGCAAAGATGATATTAATTCACTTTTCCTGATAGGAATACACGGTGGCTGAGTCCAGAAAGCAGTGGGCAGCAGTCTTGTATTTGATACAGCACCTTATCACAAGCAGTCATGAAGTGAATGACCAAGTTTATTTGTTGGCCAGGATAAATAAACAAACAAATGACATTTACACAGCGCATTTCACGTCGGGAGAACGTCCCAAGGTGTTCGGCAGTCAGGGATTTGGACCCAAGCTGGGGATTATGCTCAGGAGGGGTGGCGGGCAGGAAGGGTAGAGGTAGGAAGGAGGGGGGGGTGATCAATGGTACGGTCGAAAACAAGACATTAAACACAAGAGGACTTTGGTTTAATGTCTCATCCAAAGGACGGCCTCCGATAATGCAATGCTACCAACAAACACTGCACTGGAGTGTCAGCTTAGACTGCGTGAGCTCAAAATCCTGATGTGGGGCTGCAGTAGTATTAAAAACATTGAAGAAAAACATGGAAGGGAGTGGGGTGTAGGCGTGTAGTCAATATTCATCACATGAAATTCAGACGAAAGTGCTAGAGAAGGACCAACGTGACTTACTGTCCTCCAAAGAGTTGCATCCCAAGCAGAGCAAAGACCACAATGAAGAGGAAAAGCAGGAACAGCAAACTGATGATTGATTTCATCGAGTTTAGCAACGAGACCACCAGATTCCGCAGCGAGTTCCAGTACCTTGAGAAAACGCACAGTGCAAGAATGGGGATTACACATGGCACTAATAGGTGGAGGAGAAACACTAGCAGAGGGAGTTGATATCAAAATGCTCACTTGGTTACTTTGAAGATCCTCAGCAGGCGAAGGGCTCGGAGAACGCTTATCCCAAAGGAAGTGCCAGGTTTGACCGCAGCCCAAATCACTTCAAAAATACTGCCCACAATCACCTGCACAACCATAGCATGAGACAGGTCAGCCATTAAACTTTAGGCAGTAGGGGTCTGTGCCCTATATTATATTATATATATATATACATATATGAGCGATTGAACAAATCTCATTCTTACCCCAAAATCAAAGCAGTTGAATGAGGAATGGAAGTAATTCCTTGGTCCTAGACCGAACATCTTCAGAAACATCTCGGACAGAAACAGACCCAAGAAAACAAACTCAGCGAAATCTGAAGTAAAAGAAAGCACAGCAATTACACTTGCCTTGTTACAGTTTTCTGTACGTCGTTCATCTAATCTTTACCAGTCAGTCAGGCAGTGAAATAAATGAAGTCCTAACTCATTGCTGCCATTTCTTCCGCTGCCGCACACAAACATTTTCTTGGGCTCCTCAATGCGACAGCTAGGACAACACTGAACACGGGAGATTAGACAGCGGCGAGCACTTACACAAAGCCTCGGTGAGCCAGGGCGGCTGGTCATAGTGGACAATGGCCACACAGAGGGTGTTCAGGGCCACCACACACAGGACAACCCAATAGAAGGTCTGAGACTTCACCATGCGCCGGGTAAAGAAGCGGAACCTCTTCTCCTTCCTCCGGAAATAGGAAGAGCTCTCGTTCTTAACACTTTTAAGGCTGGGTCTGGTAAACCCTGTGGACGAACGCAAACACAAGTTGATCGTTCACTAAGAGCTGAGCAATATCAAACTTTTTTTTTAAAAAAAGTGTGACGAACATCATGTGTCACTTGGGTATTTATAAATATTCCCGAGAATCTGTTCTTCCTTTAGGTTCATGGCACCTTTTCGTAGTTACACGCTCTTTATTTGGAGTTACTGTAAAACCTTGAGGGTTCAATTTAAAAATACTCTCGAGTATCAATTAGCAATTACTCTGGATCTGACAAGAGACAAACACAGACCCCTCCTATACACCAAGACAGGAACTTCCCCCCTTCCCCCCCCCACCACCCCCACCCCGATATACAGTGCTTTGATCACTGAGGGTACTTTGACCATAAAAGTAGAACACAATCCTGTCAGGTCCCAATTTCATAATGGAGGGTGGGAAGGAGGAAACGGAGGCTAAAGAAGACGACGTGAATGATTCCTGTATTATTTTGATGTTTCTCTGCTGCCGATATAGAGTCGGGAAGATATGCACAGACGGCAGCAAATCTCTTAACCGGGAAGAAAAAGAACACTGTCCGACCGAACCGGAGCAAGAGGCGGAATGAAGGGTTTATGTGAAATGCAGAAACAATCAGAGAGACACTCACTGCTGCTGGTGTCATCCACTGGTACTGCTGTCGTGCCGTGATCTGTTCCAGCTCCTTAAGGGAACAAAGGGCAGCATTAATCTTAAAAGAAAACAAAAGGCTTCATATTTGAGGCAATTGCTATAGAGTCTTATAACACTGACAGGTTTCAATTCCAAAAGGTGACTGCTGTTAAATACGGTGACTGCCAGCCTCCGACAACTAACCATCAACTGAATGATCAATAGACTCAATAGAATAACATAGACTCCCTTCTCTTTTCAAATAGGCTTGTGGAATATCTATTGTCTATCTGAAGCAGCAAACGGGACCTTAATTTAGCATCTCATCAAAAGGATGGCAGCTCCAACTATGCAGCTCTCCTTCAAATCTTCTGAGCCTGCTTATACCTTGGCTCAGCTGGTTGCATGATCTCCATTTGGACTTAAGCTCACAGTCCAGGCTGATACTGTTTGCCTACAAGAAACATTGAACTTGACAGCGATTATCATGAAATGCTTTGAGACCTTTCAATGCTATGGGTGTAACATCAAATGCAAGGATTATTATTTATTGTAACTTTTTTTATTGTCTTGGATGTTGCTCAAAATCACAACTAGCTTTAGGAAGCTCTGAGTGGCTCTTGTGATCTGTGAGTTACCAATGACATTATCGCTGCCAAATCCAAAGGCTGGAAGTTGGATTTGTGGCCCAGCTAATCAAGGTTGTGATGGTGATCATATTCTCAGACATTTTATGTGCCATTGATATTAAAAATTAAAATACTAGCAAAATGTAGTCTCCCAATTCAAAGGTCCCCAAAGCTGAGGTCACTAGAATATTTATCAAACTTAAAATAAAGGGAAATGTTGAATGATAACTTATTACATCATATAGTCCAAATTGTTATTCTAGGATGTTAATTTAGCCAGGCGTCTGGGGCAGGCAAGGTTGGTGATGTGTCAGTTTAGGTCTTACACAATGGAGCCAAACCGATTTGCGTTTGACAAATTCCCTGAAATAAGGCTAAATGATCCACGGTGCCAAGAGGAGTAGCAGTGATATATCGTTGACATTGTAAGAAGAAACTCTTTCAAATGTTAATTCCAGCACGTTAATAAAAGATCAGGAATCTCTTGTTCCTCCACAGACACACACCCCCTCGAGAGGGAATCATGCCAATGTTCAGATGTGGAACCTGACAGTACCGTTTTCACTAAATCACCGTTTTAACAAAATATATTAAAAGGCAAATGAGCTCCAAATAAGCACCTCAAGTGGACATTACAAACCATTTGTTAATTGGCCACTTTGCCGTATAATAAACTGCATCTGCCTAGTTATTCATTATTGATCTTCAGTGTTAAATATTCAACTGCCAAACTCCAAAGATATGGGCAAAATTCCAATGTGGCCCCACGTAAATGGGTGTCTACTTCGAAGCAGTTCTTAATCATTTATAAAAAATATTAATCATATTATTTATATAATTCAAATGCTAAAGTAAGATCCCATTCATCTTATTGTTAATAATTATTATTAATATTGTGGTACATCATATTAATAATAATTAGTAATAAATAGTTGTAATTATTAAATAAGCTCCTTTCTGCCAGGAGGAAGTCTCAAAGCTGGATGAGCTCTTTCAAGTCCATTGAGTAAGAATGCCCTTGTGAGATGTCACTCACCCACGGAGGAGATGTCTGTGAAGTGCTCATCGCCCTCTTCTGCATGGATCAGGTCGTTTTTGCTCTTTTTGGTTGTGGCTCTCTTTAGGACTGTGTAAACAACGCAGTGTTACTGCTACAGGAACCTGCTCAGGCGCCATTTTGTGTTGTTTTTTTGACTGCATGCATTTTGCCTCTTTCACGTTGAAACTTTTAAACGAGCATTGAAACCAGAGCGAGCGACAAAGGGTTTCGCGACAACAGATTGGCAGGTCGCAAGATGGGTTTAGATGAGCAAGGTGAACAATTCCATCCCTCCAGAACACCCACCCTACAGTCCACTCGTAACAGCATGGAGTTCTTCAATACCCCGGGGTAGGGGAAAGGGGTGACCTTCAGATCAATGAAGTGTTACGTTAATTCGCCTACAAAACACAATCACTATACTTTACAGTATATCCTGTGAAGAGCTTTGAGATGTCTTCCTGACGTGAAAGGTGCTCCATCAAATGGTAAGGATTATTATTAGTATTATTATTATTAGTCAAACCTGTCTTCCACAACCACTAGAGGGGACTGGGCCATAGTGTCTCTTATATAAGGGTGGCCTCTAAGTAGGGGTTTGTTGGTGTGTGGGTGTAGAATTGTCTTTGAGGCTGTTTGCGAGCCGGTTGGTTGTAAACAGGAGGTGGTTGCTTGCTCAGGGTTGAATGTGGATCCAAGCATGGTTCTCTGATATTTAACGCTCCAGGTTATCCCCAGAAAGCGTAAACCCTGGGTTTGATGGACCTTTCCTCTCACAAACCTGGAGACAAATGTGGATTATTGAGCTGGAGAGGAGCCATGTACTGTATGTCCCTCTAACACGCTCACAGTAAAACTCACAGGGGACAAAAGTCCTGCTGCCCCGAATGGGATCTCCCCCTCGTTGTAAACCCGGATGAATTCCTCACCCATTGTGTCCATTACTCACCTGCCCCCACCATCCCCACCCTCAGTCACATTCATGTTGCATGCCCCCCTCCCCTACCCCGCATGCCTGTCGAACAAAGATTTGCAATTCCGTATAAATCTCAACTACAGACCCATGCATTCCCTCTCAGAGCAGTTTCACATGGTGGTTAAACGTGCGACCTGCCATGCGTTAGTTATCACCGATGATAATTAACGCATCACAAGTCCCCACTTTTCACCCTTTTTAGTTGCATTCAATGCGGCGCTTCACTACATGCAAATGTCTTGAAGCATTCTGCAGTGCAAGTAACTTTGTAGTGTAGTGACTGTAGCAATGAAGGGGGAAACCAGGAAGCTATCCAGCACCTGAAACATTCCCGCAAACGGCGATGAGATTAGACACCAATTTATTTCCCGTGAATTTGAAAGTGAAGGAGAAATATTGGTGAGGACACTGAGGTTGTGGGGCAAATAAAACAACTGTTAGTTCTCCTTCAAAATAGAGCCATAGGATGTTTAACATGATCCACCAGAACAGGGCCTGGGTTTAACATGTCAACTGAAGGACGGCACATCCAACAGTGAGGCACTTGTTCAACACTGCACTGTAGTCAGGATCAGTGATGAGGAGATACGGGCAGCACCAGATATTAAACTAAGGTCGGTCCCACCTGTGCCTGTTCAGGTGGACATCAAAGATCCTATGGTGCTATTCGCAAAGAGGAGGGAGTTTTTTCCAGTGTCCTGGCCAACAATCTCCCTCCCCCCCGATAAAAAAAATTGAATGTTCACTTCATAGCGCTCTACGGGACATTGCTGTGCGCAAATTGGCTGCCAACCTAGGTTTCTCTACACAATACACAGTCACTACGCTTGACAGTAAATCCCGTGAAGCACTTTGAGATGGTCCTCACGACATGAAAGGTCCTATACCGAAAGCTCAGTCTTATTCTTGTTCTTATTATCTTCAGCAGTAGTGGCACACACACTTTCATCTCCTTTATCTCAAGCATCTACAAGTCGTGGGTAAGATATTGCACATTGCCGGTGGAATGCTTGGATCTTGTTCACCCCAAAGAGTACTCGACTGTGCTTTCTTCTTCATTGCTGAAGGATGAAACTAGTCGGGACGCCACTCAGACACATCAGGCCAACATGCAGTAGGGAATGTAGTTGACGACAGAGGTTTGGCTCAGTATTAGAGACAAACCGAGGATGGGAATCTCAGAAGAGGCAAGACATTTATCAGTCATTTTTCATGCCACTAAATGTGAGATGGGGGTGGGGGTGGGGTGGGGGGAGAGGGCAGGGAAATGAGGGGCGCGGGGGGAAGTCATGTAGCATTTGTTACCACGGATCCACACTGCTCCTTTGTCTCGTTGGGTTTCCCCTACTGTAAGCCGTGAACAAACAAAGAATTATAAAAAGGTACAGACAGACAGACACACACACACACACACACAGATCCAAACGAAAGGGCAAAACCAAACAAATCAAAACAAAAATCGAAAGAGATGAAGAGACGGTGTGGAAACAAAAAAATGAAGAAGAGAATGAAAAGAAACAGCAGCAGAAAAAACAGAGGGAAACATATTAAAACAGAAATAGCCTCACAAACTGACCCAGGACTGAATACACAGCGCGATGGAAAGCCACCTAACATCCCGATATCGTAAAGTTGCTTCACAGTGATGGATCAGCCACGGTATCAGCAACCAACGGGGTCAAAATTCATTGAGATTAATGGTATTTTTTCCTCTACTCTGAGCATTCAGTCCAATGTTGCTGGAAAAGCCGGGTTTGCAAGGCATCTTCCATCAGGAGAATGGACGTGCACAACACAAAGAGAATGACGAGATAGCAATCCACGGTTGACCAGGCGAACTGAACGGAAATAGTGTCCAGGATTAGGGTCTGTGCAACGAACCGGGGTCTAACATGGGTTCGTTCCCCTCCCGTTCCCCCGTTGCTCAAAGCAGGATCCCGTTAGAATTCTCGTCCACCCTCGGAACACCGATCCGGAAGAAGGTGGGACCGGTGTGGAGGGTAACGTGGGTGGGTGAGACTTACGTACCAACTACCCACCTCCCCATTAAACGTAACAATTGAAGCCAGCAGCTCTCTCAGTACAAACCAATGTGATTGACACCAGGTGCACATACCATCCAAAGCAGATTTGTCTTCCGCATTCTTATCCTCTTCGGCTAACATGACCTCCTCTAAACAAAGCATAAAAGACAAGAGAGTTGAGCCACGCATAGTCCTGTGGTGCAGCAGGTGAACTGCTCCCCCGCCCCATGTTTAGTGGCCTCAGAAAATTAGCTTCCCAATAAAGCCTGTCATAAACTGCACTCTTCAGTCATCAACTTGTCCCCATTCAGATTACGACAATCGTAAAAAAAAGGGAATAGGATAAGTATTAAAATATCACAATCAGCAAAGTAACCAACAGCTGCAGTAATGTATTGAAAGTGGAACTTTTCCTCTGTTCATCCAATTGGCCAAAACGTCGAAACCAAAGGGCCACTGAACTCAAGCCCAGAGGTGAAAAGGTGAACAGATGGTTGAGATTTTACTCAGACAGTGTTGAAAATGTAGAATAGACAACCCAAGGAAGATGGTGGAGGCAGGTTCCTAAGGTCCTCCTGCCCTGCCCATTCCCTCCACTGTGCTAACTCTGGTCTGCTTTTGTACCTAAGCCCCACTATCGGCACGCAAGCTTTCGGCCATTTTTCCAAAGCTCACCTGCTATATGTATCCAGCGAAGGTATCTGTTGAACTCTTGCTCGATCTGTTGCTGTCGTCGTAGCTTCAGGAACGCACGCCTGTTTTCCACTCTTTCGCGCTCTTTCGCAAACTCACTGTGGAATAAGACAAAAACAGTCTTATTCCTGCCTCGCGTCGGGGGATGAGATACATCGATCAAAGTGAAAGGTCAATCCAGACTTACAGTTTTCTGTAATTCTATGAAGAAAACTGACAAGAAATCGGCTTCAAAATGAAGGCCAGATTTAAGAATTTGCTCTGAAATTCTACATAAATAATAATAATAATAAAAGTAATCCTTGCATTTGATACGGTGCCTTATCACGTCTTCGAGACGTCTCAAAGCGCTTCACAGAATATACATTTTCAACACTGTCTGAGTAAAGTAAATTGACTGTATATTTTGTGGGCAACACGGCAGCCAGTTGCACACAGCAGTGTCCTACAAACAGCCATGGATTGAAATGACCAAATCCTTATATATTTTGAAGGGATTATTACCCCCGGAATAGTGATCCGTTATTCAACTAACATCTCCCAGAATAGATTAGATGGTGCATTTGCATCGCTTCAAGTAATCAAATTTACTTGTATAATCAAGAGTTATCGTCAGAAATCACTTGACCTTAGGATTAATCTCGCCGTTCGTTCCCTGGGGAACATGTTCCTTTAACAACTTGTATGACAGCTTAATGAGGCATCAACGCCTGGTACACAGAGTTGCAAGATACTTCATCAGGTTTGTAAACAATGCAATTCACAATGGTGCGATCGCATCATTAATCATGTTTGACACAAAATATTTCAACATTGTATTAAGTTTGACTAACGCTGTGTTGGCACTGCTCGGAACTTGACTTACATTACCTGCGGCACATTACACATTACGAATCAGGGCAGTGAGAGCCTAAACAGCTCATTTGGGAGTTGAATGCCGAGCTCTTTAATAACATTGAAGAGGACTTTGAATGCACAGTCTAGGATGGCACTCCAGTGCAGGGCTGGATGAGTACTGCATTGTCGGAGGTACCGTCCTTCCTTTAGATGAGATTAACATTGAGGTCCCATCTGCCTGTTCAGTTGGACATTAAAGTTATTCAATAAGAGAAGGGAGATTCCCCTGTTATCCTGGAAGGACAGTCCCCCAGATAAAATTGGTCATCTGCTCCATGGCTGTTTGTGGCTCAATGCTGCCGTGTTCACCTGCAGCTACACAGGCCCTGAGCTTCACAGTAAAATCTTGCAAAGCGCTTTGAAATGCCTCGATAAGACGGGTATATCATATGCAAAGATTATTATTAACATTGAAGGACGCTTTATTGAACCTTTTTGGATGGTCCATTGAACCTCCTGCGAGCATTTGGTGAGCCACAAAAGGAACAAGCGTGCTGTGATTTGCACCCACTGTCACTGTAATCACAGGAAAGGTTCAGTTGGAAAAAATGCCCTTTTTTTTGACAAAGGTCCATTTGTCCTTATCTTCCCAGGACAACAATCCAACATTTTCCTATTATAGCATTGATCCGTTTCTTAATAATTCAATGCCCTAGCCTCATCCAATTTTCCTGATAACCCCTGCCAGCTATCGATCATGCTCTGTGAATTATTTATTATTATTATTAAAGAATTATTTTGTGGTGTCTGTCCTAACCATGCCCAGAACAGCCCAGATACAACGTGTAAAAGTATTCCTCTGCGTTGATGTTCTCTATCCCACTCGCTTCAATTGAACTCAAAATCTTCTCTGTCTATTGTGTTTCTTGTTTGTCGACTGTATACATCAATAACCAACAGTCTCCGAAATATAACAAAGGTTTGTTAAATTGGACCCTTTTGATTGCACTGCAGCTCCTATATGCTCAGATCCAAACCCCTAGAACATGATTGATAAGCATCTAGCCAAGCTCTACACTGGATTCAATCAGTCTTTGCCGTACACCCGGCTCCTTCAAATCAGCTCCTGTGATACACCTGACACATAAATAATTTACAGACAGACGATCTCAATGACTCACATCAGTAAACATGTCAGTGCACAGTCCCATACACCCTCTCAACATCTCGCTTCATGCCTGGTAGTCTAACTCAACCTGTACGGGAGACTCCGTATGGATTCTGGCGGCTGGGCTTTCAGCCGTTATGCCCCCACTTTCTGGAACTCTATCCTGGAGTCCCTCCAACTCGCTCTCTCTCTCCGCTCGTACAAGTTCTGTCTCAAAACATACCCACTATTTTGAGTAGTAAACACACTTTGAACCTGAATTCTGGGTCCGACGAGACAGACAGACAGACAATTTTCAGTCCTAGGTTCCTATGAAACTAATATGTCAGATCAGAATGGGACTTGAGAAACAGTGGAACAGTTCAACACAAACAGCAATGTGTGAAACCTCAAAGATTTTTTTTTAAAAGTTCCATCTTTATATTTCATAACCAGGGGAAATGTCAAACTCATATATTTCCACACCTTTTTTTATTTGCACCGTAGTAAAATTCACGCCTTCTGCACTTGGGATTTCTGCGATTTTTTGCTGGAATGAGGAGCGCACATTAATAACCTGGGAGCACTGGATGCGAGTGGCTTTAAGTCAATTGAGTTTCTCTCTGAGGCAGGCTGTCAATCAGGAGATAGTTACCAGCGCTGCAGACAGCTGTGGCAGCGTTTGATTCATTTTCCATTGGGCTTTGCTTGGTGCGAAGTGACGGAGTGAATAGCTGACCATTCAACGATCTCTCAGATATAAATCATGGTTTCAAATTTGATAAATGTAGCTCTGTGTTTGAACAGAATGAGGAACACACACACACACACGTGTGTCTTCATCTTGTTACACACACATACACATGGGTGTCTTTATTTTGTTACACACACATGTGTCTTTATCTTGTTACACACACACACACACACAGAAGTAAAAGTAATAATAATTGTACTTGCATTTGATAAAGCACCTTTCACACAAGAAGCATGATCTCTCTCAATGTGCTTCACCGGATTTTTACTGCGCATTTGTGGGCAAACATGGCGGCCAATTTGCACACAGCAATGTCCCACAAACAGCCGTGAAAAGAACCATTGACGTTATCTGGGTGTTTGTTGGCCAGGACACCAGAAGAAATTCCCTTCTCTTTTTGAATACTGCCGCGGGATCTTGAGCGTCCACCTGAATAGGTAGGCATCGTTTCTGAAGGACGGTCCCTCCAAAAAATGCAACGCTCCCCAGGGCTTCTGCAATTGAGATTTCTATGGAAATGAGGCCAGCTCTTCAAAAACCTGACAGCACTGAATCCAAGTGGCTCAAGTCAATCGGTTTTCTAGGCAACATGGCCTGACAATCAGGAGATGGTTAACAGCACTGCATACTGCCTGGACTGACGTGTTTTCCAGCAAACTCAGGTCTTGAGCACCCCCATCCCATCCCCTACCTTCCACTCTGCTCACACGCCACACAGACACACTCACACACACTCAAACACACCACACACACACACACTCACTCACTCACACACACCACACACACATCATACACACTCACACACACACAGCAATCCATCTCAACAAAGCACTTTGATACATTTCCTGAGTAAAAGATGCTGTTTAACAAGATTGTAAAATACAATACAATTACAATTTATATTTATATATTGCGCCTTTCACGTCGGGAGGACATCTCAAAGCGTGTTAAAGTGCCCGCTCTTGTAATGAAAAGGCTGTTGCATTGGATAATGACACAACGAAGAGCACTTGCCTGGAAGGCGATAAGCCAATGAATGGGCTGTTAGCCCAACCCGCATTTTAGTGCCCAATTCACCTAAAAAGAAATATACTCTTCACAGCCAACATAAAAAGTAAACGCCACACCAGCTGTTCATTTGTTAAGATGATTAATGCCACAGTGTTAGCTGAGTATTTGGCAAATCCACCGATAACACGGTTGCTCATGAATACTGTCAGTAATGAGAGTACTTAACATTTCTACCGCGCGTTTCCCTGGCTGAGTCCTTTTGTACCTTACTCTGAGGTGGTCTTGTTAATGTGGCTCACCAGATGTTGCTTAAAGTATCGGTGCATTTCCCAGCGTAGGGGAGCCAAGCTGAGCTGAACTGCCCGCTGAGCACGTGGGGATGAAATGGTTTATTTATTTTCTGTAACCCTTTTGCTAACGTGTCTTCAGGCGCGCGGGAGAATTTGGAAATAAAAGCCAAAGCAAAGCCACTCGTTGGGAAGAACACAGAAGGGTGCAAACTAACAGCACCCTGTACAGAACGGCTCTAACGAGTCTCATTGGAATGGCACCTCCCTATCTTTCTGGCCTCCTTTCTCCCCACTACACCACCCGCTGCCTCCGCTCGGCTGGCTCTGGTCTCCTGCTTGTCCTTCTTCCACTCGTCCCCTCCACTCCACCATCAGCGATCGCACTTCCCCCTCAAAGCCTTGGAACTCTCTCCCTCAACCCCTCCACCCTGCCCCCTCCTTCCCCTCTTTTAGATCACGACTGAAGAGCTCCCTATTTGACTTTGCCTGCGGTCACCTCCTCCCTCTCCCCACACGCCCCGGCTCAGCGTCAGACTCCATCAGACACTGCCAAGCGTGAAGGGCACTAAATAAATGCAAGTTGTTGGTTTTGTTGTGTCATTGAGAGACTGCTGCTCTCAGCACTCAGGAGTTTACAAATCAGGTTTTATAAGCACTTGGGAGTCCATGTCTTTATTATTGAGTTAGCTTTTCTTTTCTATTTAATGCCATTAGTGAGAGTGGCGCATTGTACGGTGAGGTGTTTCATTGCTTATAAAGACTTATGTTTATCGTAAATTACGTGGTGGTTTTGTTGGTAGCTGAGGTCTTTCATACAATTACTATCTGCACTTTTCCCTGACAGCAGTAATCAGTCCTGATGTTTTTGCTGTGCGGCGGCACTTTTAATTTTGAAAACCTTAAAACCGCAGAACAAAAAACTGAACTTGTTCTCGATTTTATATATTTTTTTAAAAAATACGAAGCGCCGAATTTTTTTCATTAAATAATATCACTACTGAAATATTATAATAATTGAGTCATTTATTATGAGACCTCAGCTTGATATATTAACTAATTCTCACATCTGATATGCCCCTTTCATGTCGGGAGGATGTCCCAAAGCGCTTCAGGCGATATACTGCAAAGTGTAGTGATCGTGTATTTTGTAAAGTGAACACACGACACCCAATTTGCGCACAGCAACGTCTCACAAACAGCCAGGTGGCAACGGACCAATTTTTATCTGGTGGTGGGAGGGGATTCTTGGCTGGGACATTGGGAGAAACTCCCTTCTCTTTTCAAATACTGCCACGAGATCTTAAAAGTCCAGCCGAACAGGCAGACAGGAGATCGGTTAATCCCTCACCTGAAGGAAGGCAGGTCCGACAATGCATTGGAGCGTTAGCCTTGATTGTGTGATTTTCACGTCCCGATGCGGGGACTTGAACCAACAATCTGCGAGAGTGGGACCAACTGAGAGGGACTACATGTTAAAGAGTGGGATACTGAAATGACATCACTCGCACCCTAAACCCAGCATCAATGGAACACAACATACAACTCGACTTGACTGAAGTACCTTCATGTAGCACCTCGTTTTACGATAATTATGATATAAATGACCCACCATTACATGAGCCCAGGTTGAAGAAAGCCAGACTGACACGCACTGCAATCTTAAACAGAACCCAAATTAGAATTTAAAAGCAATCTCCGCTGCCCTATCCTTCAACGTCCAGCCATCGAGGCTGACTGTGCTGTCAGCTTCGTTCAACACTGACCATAAAGAGCCGGCCAGGGAAATGTGCTTTGTGAATAGCCCCTGGGGGCAGTCCTGCACAAAACCTCGCCAGTCTCTCATTCTGCACATTAATAAGAACAAATAGTCGCAGCTGCCTGTTCCTGCTCCCACCGTCCCAACACAGGCTGCTCCAACGAGGAGAGCAGGGAGATTATAGCGCTGGTGTTAAACAGGTGTGAAGAGATTAAGGGTTTAACTCAATGGGATTTTTTTTTTTTTTTGCCTGACATGTGCAGAAACCAATCGCCGTGTTGAAGAGTATCCCAAATCGGCCTGCCACGTGATCACGCGTGCCACTTACACACGGAAACCGCCCTGCGTTTGGGAGATCGCAAAATACACCGTCGATCCACTTTACAGAATAGTCTGTGAGGCTCTTTGAGACGTCTCAACAACCGTCTGACTGAGCCGGGGTGCAGGGTGGGTGAGGGAAGTAAGATAATAAGGCAACAGCACAGATTCATCGTATTGGTGGTGGAAAACAACGGGGCTGCTTGCACCTGGGGACACATTGGAACGATTGCTTAATGTTACAATTTGGGAATGTCATGTTGAAGCCCTTTAAATTTTTAATAAAGTGTTGGCAGTTTTCCTCGCTGAGCATTGATTAGTTTTCACTGGGGTTTCTGTGTACCAACATCCTTGTGAAAGCCATGAAAACAAATGCTACTGAGGTGAATGGCAACACTTCTGTGTGCAATTGGTTGCCACGATTGGCCCACAAAACACACAGCCAATTCGCTTCTCAGTGTATTCTGTGAAGCGCTTTGAGACGTCTCCAAGACGTGAGAAGGCGCTGTATCAAATGCAAAGATTATTATTATTATTTCATAATAAATCGCATGAAGCACAGGGGGATGTTTCGAGGATATGATATCAACAAAGTTACTTTGTATAAGGTGTTATTGTAAATGTAAGAATTATTATTATAACAGATCAGATGATCTGTGTTTTGTTATTAAACGTTAAACGCATGTGAAGATCAGTTTATTGAGGGCTAAACTCAGAGATGAACTCAAATTACTTAACAGACGAATACATTGAAAATATCTTTTCGCCAGTTGTGAAGTCCTGTATTGTCGACCTGGGTGTCGAGGGAATGTTTCCTACTCACTGGCACAAGCTCTCATCTGGCGCCTCTTAAAACAGGTTGTAGGATTGTCGTGCTGAGTGAAATATTTCCCTTGGGAAAAGTGACGGATCGTACAGAGAGGTGTCACTTTAATCTGCTAGAGTTTCGCAAGCTGCCGACGCTGCATTTATGGAGTAATCAGTTTACCAGACTATGCACAGGTGGAGCTTGTGCGCGTGTCACACAGACTTACACGTCGATTTATGCCTGCGTTTCAGGGGCAAATGTAGTCGAGCAAGAAATCCAGTCAATGCCAAACTCTGTTCGAAAGTAATATCCGTTACAAGGCACAATGAGACCAGTCCCCAAACACCACGTCATTAACAGGTTCTGCCGGGTTCATCTTGCGGAGTGAAAGGTGTCTGGGTTTTACGAGGTGCACCGACTGTTTCCCGGCATCTCCGGCAGCGTGTTGTAACAATAATTACCGCACCAGTTAACAAGCTCATTTGTTTATGATCTGGTGGTCAGTCCCTTATGGCTACACGGTCCCGATAACTCTGCTTTTAATGCCGACTCGAATCGCCATGGCATCCGGTAAACTGCTTTCAATCGGCGGCAATTCCAGCGCTACGCAGCCTTACCGTCGAAAACCCCTCGTCACCACAAACGAAACGCGCAGACCAAGTACCTTTCGTGCCACACTTACCCTGACAAAACACCCAGCACTAGATTCAGCATGAAGAAAGACCCGATGATAATCAGCGGGATGAAATAAAGCCAGTTCCACGTGTTCCCCAAGACATCGTTTGCCTGTGAAACAAAGAGCGAGAGAGAGAACGAGAGCTTCAATGAAACAAGACAAGGCAACCGCTATTTCTACCCAACTCATCTTAGCCTCAAACATAATAATGTGGAATCAAATAAGCAGAAGGCTTTTTTCAATAGAATAATGCAGTTTAAGGTAAAATATTTGCTGAGCGTTGCTGAACTCTGCTAACCCGTTTCTTGCTTTCCGGTCATCATGTTTACTGACTCACATTTTGGCGGAAGGTGAAAGGAGACAGGAAGAGATGGGGAGAAGGTTGGTGCAGAGCAGCAAAGAGAGAGAGAGAGAGAGAAAAACAAAGACGGCTTTTGAAGCAGAGAGAGCTAGAGATTCCTCAGAAAACGGGTGTTTAAGATAAGTTATTAAATGGTGGTCTCCGGGGCTTTGAATATTTATAACAGACATGTAATATTTAGCCTGCATCTTTTGTTTGCGCTAGTCATATATTTTACTTGTTAGTGCAAGGTCTTATGAATAAATGCATGGCTGGCACAACGGATTAACTGCACTGTAATGACTTTGACGAGAAATGATCTCTTAATATTCAGGAACGTCTCATTCATGTACTGACAGCTCATTAGTTATAGGGTCGACTCGATTTTCACCGAGGATGGCTACTACTTTATTTTAGGATACCCTGATGATGCTATATCAAGTGCAAGGAATATTTTTCTGATAAATAAAGTGTTAGCAACAGAGCGACACAGGAACAGGCGGAGGCCACTCAGCCAATCAAGCCTGTTCCACCGGTTTATTGGACCTTGGCCGATCTTTTATTTCCAATCCCCTGGTCTTTTCACCACAGAACCATATAAATTTACAACATAGAAGATGTGCATTTGGCTTATCATATCTATGCTGGTTCTTTGAAAGATCGATCCATTGAGTTCCAATGAAGAGCACCCCCAGTGCACACTCTGGGAGCCCCAAGCCTTGGCTCTTGCCACACCCCTGCTTAACCTAGTTCCGGGTAGTATTAAGCACAAGTCAGTGCCTAATACTACCCAGAACCAGGTTAAGCAGGGGTGCGGCCCTCCAGGGAAAGAGAGAGAGAGTGAGTGAGAGAGCATTCCATTCCAGACACGGGGAGGAATTTCCGTGCGTAGGCGGCATTGTGATGGATTGTGTTGGAGCTGGGGTTCCTGTGGGCTGATGTGATGTACTTCTTCATTAATTAAACCCCATTAGAAATCATTAAATACCAGACCCCAGTGCGAGAACAAGTGGTACACGAATCCTGTCTGGCTTACAGTCCAGGAATTACAGTGGGTGCTTCCCTTGGGCCACTTAAATCCCTCATTATAGACTGCATCAATCGTCTAACCAGTTGAACTTTCAACCCACACATCCTGTATTTCTGGAGCACAAGGAGCCCCTCTTTGTGACAGTAATTCCCTTCTGTATCAAATCAATTCTTTGTCTGCTTTCCAAACCTATTGTCACCAGCTCTGCCAATTATAACGGTTCTATTTACAGTCGCCTTCTGTGTTGCATTCCACACAATGCAGCCCGTCTGTCTTTAACCGCTTCACGCCTTCCCTTTCAATGCAGGTGTTTCGCTGATTTGATTACTTGTCAGGGCTCCTCCACAAAGCGTTCACAGAGACTCCAACGCGTGTGATTTTCAGGCAAGGACTGGAATGAGCTCCTATTAAACCATGTCACACGCTACACAACACACGTCACAAGGTACACGACACACCCCACATGCTACACCCCACGTGTCACACTGTTTGATCCTGTTAAGAAGAAGAATCCTTTTATTTGAAATCGCGCCTCATCACGGCAAAATGGCTTCAAAGCTTTACTCTGAGTTTTTGTTTAGAGTGTAGTGACTGTGCATTTTGTAGGCCAACGCGGCAGCCAATTTACTTGCAACAACGTCCCCCACAAACAGCCATGAAGTGGGGATGGGGTTGTTGGCCTGGACCCTGGGAGACTCTCTCTTCTCTTTTCCAAATGGTACAATGGGAATCTTTACCATCCACCTCAACAACAGCAACTTGCACTCACACAGCGCCCTTCACATCGCGTCACGTCTCGGAGGACTTTACAGAGATCGGGTTAGTCGCAGATTAAGGAGTGGGGGAGAGGGAGGGGTAGGATTTGAGGAGGATTTAAAGAACGAAGTGGATGGGACTCAGTTTAACGTCTCATCCAAAAGACAAAAATGTCGATGGCAACATTTCTACACTGTTAATTTTAGTGACCGCCAATAATACTGTAAGGCCAGCAGCGAACATACAAACACAAGGTAACAGTTCTTAATATGGCTAAGCTTTCAACGACAGTGTGCATTTGACTGGATTCCCTCTGAGCTTGGCTTCACACTTCCCAGGACATCAGAGGATGAAAGGAAAATGTGCAATGAATAATTCAATGTGTGTGGATCAGTTTTGGGCAGATTATTTGCAAGGAATGAACACACACACACACACAAGGTTTTTTATACGTTGAAGAATTGCAGGATTGTGAATAGGATCCAAAGGCCACACTATTATGTTTCTTCATAATCAGTAGTGGTTGAAGTGGCTCCTTAATACAGTATATTGTTAAGCAGCTTGTTAAAATAAGAGTCAAAGGCTTCTGCTTTCACTCTCTCTGGATCTCAATCTCTGCGGAGAGAGAGAGAGAGAGAGAGAAAGAGAAAGAGAGAGCAGAGATGGACATAAAGCTAAGTTCCTGTCTGTCGGCTCCAGTCATTTCAGTGGATGTCAAAGATCCCAAGGTACTATTCAAAGGAAGAACACACAGTTCTTCCATTGTCCGGCACAATTTTGTTCTCTTATCCAACATCACTGAAAATCAGCTTGTCTCAACCCTGTTTCTAAGGCATTCCTGATGCTGGTGAAGATTAGGCAGCAGCCTGGCCTACGTACACCCACTCGCTCTGCTCCCGAGTAACTCCGCATGCGAAGTTCTTTGAGACGATTTGACGTGATGAGGCGCTGCCTGACTCCAGTACAGCGCCGGGGGGTGCACTGCAGTGTTGGAGGTGCCGCCCTTCAGTTGAAACGTTCTGCCGGACGTCAAAGATCCCACAGAACTGCTCAAAAAGAAAAGTGAGCGTCTATCTCCCGGTATTCTGGCGAGCAATGCTCGGGATCGAATTGATCATTCACTTCGTGGCTTGAACCCACGAGCTTCTGATCGAGAGGTGAGAGTGCTACTGATTGATCCAGGCTGAGAAAAATCAATAAATACAGGTACATGCTTGCGTACATAATAATAATCCTTACATTCGGTACAGCGCCTTTCATGTCGGGAGGGCATCTCAAAGTGCTTCGAAGGATATACTGTAAAGTGTAGTGACTGTGTGTTTTGCGGGTGAATGTGGCAGCCAATTTGCTGACGAACGCACACGCACACAGGAACAACTTGCACTTATATAGCGCCCTTCACGCTGGGTAGCATCTCGAAGCGCTGACATACATGTGGCTAGCAATTTACTTGGCATAAACCTACAATTTTACAACTTGACAACGTTCTGTCAGCGCCTGCAAGCCTTTTCTTGTTAAATGCCGTAAACATGCAGTGTGTTTTGTAAGACTGTCCTCGCTTCAATGCCCACGGGTTCCTAACCATGGGTATCGTGAGCTCTTCAAAGCCCTACCCTTCTCCAAGCAGCACTGAGCTCCTGCTGCGGCTTCCCTTTGAACATGGCTTCTCGCTACTTAAGATGGAGAATTAAACATGTGTTTTTTAAAAAAAAACCTAAAAGTCCCGCAATGTGATCTGTTGAGCAGTACATGTGTCTCACCCTCACATGACTGCGCAATTAACCTCCCAGCTCGGTTCATGTAACTCTCCACGGGCTGCGAGCCAACGGCTAGATACACGTTTCGTGGCTGAAATCGGCTTCGAATGTCAAACTGCACAGATAAAGTCCGAGCGAATTTACAAACCTCACTCGCCAGTCTGTCTCCCTCCTGCTGATGGATTATTCCTGCACACAATCTGGCCATTCCTTTTTTAATGTGTTTCATCCTCTCCTATATTTAACCTCAGTGGCATCCAATACAATTGGCCTCAGCCCTTTCTCTGAGTTTCTCAATAAAACCCACATGGATATACAGTGTGGCCCTTCAGTCCTAAGGCAGCTCCTGAGCTACAAGACGCTTGACCAAGAGAAACTCCCTGCTCTGTTTCACTCTCTAACCTGAATTTGCAGAACAATCAGACGGGACCTTGGTTATTATTATTATTATTATAATAAATTGTTTGCTCTTTCAGAGCAGCCGAACCTGGACATGAGCCGTACGGACAGCTTTTGTCTGAGGCTGTATATTCTACATCTCTTAAGTCTCCTTTGGGTTTTCCATATTTAATTAGTGATGCACTTTAGACTATGAGTCATCACCGCAAAGGTAATGGGAAATTATATCACTTTAGTATTGAACGCAAAGCGCCATAAATAATCCGACTGCAAATCAAAGGGTAACCTGAACGGCACTGCACTTTAATGTGCTTCAAAACCGTAACTTCAATACAGAAATGTACAAAGAGCACACCTAATAACATTGATATTCCTTCTACATAATTTAGCATTTTCCTATTAGTGCAAATGCTATGCTGGACTCGATCAAAAACGTTCAATACATCAACGCCATCAACACCGGCACAAAGGTCTCTTGAAAACAATGGCCCTCGCTCGCCAGCCTCTCTGAACATCACTCAAGTTGCGTTACCGACTGACAAGCGACAGCTGAACCAAATTCTTTAGAATGGGGGGACGGTAGGGACGGTGTTCTGGAAGGATGAGACCAGACAGGCCGAAGAGTCTTCCTCATCCAAACCAATCTTGTGGTCTTGTGATAACAGCAACCGACTGCAAGCATTATTATATCACGTCGTTGAGACGTCTCAAAGCGCTTCATAGAATAGACTATAAAGTGAATTGACTGTATATTTGTGGGCGAAACGCAGCAGCCAATTGTGCACAGCAGCGTCCCCACAAACAGCCGTGGATTGAAATGACCAAAAA